GGGTGGGGTGGGGTGAGGTGAGGTGGGATGGGGTGAGAGAAAAGAGGAGGGTTGGGGGGAAGGGGGGGAGAGAGAGAAACGGAGAAAACATACTTGTACTAAAGAACAAAGAGGAGAGGAAATATGTGAAGAAGCAGGAGAGTAGAAAAAGACACAAATAAAGGAAATTAAGAAGAAAAAACAAAGTAACAGAATTTACAACAAAAAATAAAAAGAAGAGCAGGAGGAAAGAAAAAAAATGAGAAAACAAGAAAAAGAGGAAAGAGGGGGGAAAAAGAAAAAAAAAAGAAAAAGAAAAGGAAAAGAAAAAGAAGAGGAGAGGAGAGCAGAGCAGATAAAAAGAGAAAAGAAAGGAAATGAGAAGAGAAAAAAAAAAGAAGAGAAAAAAAAGAAGAGAGGAAAGAAAAAAGCACAGACTAAGAGAAAAAGATAAAGAGTTTGTTTTAGGATAGACTTGGGAGAAGGAAGGGGGGAAGAGGGGATTCAGGGATTCAATGATTTCCCTACAATGCCATGGAAGAATCCAAAAGGACTTATTATACGGTGAGCTGGCCTCCGGAAAGTGAGCGCAAGAGCGCCCCCATCTTCGCTGTAAAGATTAGTGCAAGCGAGATATGAAATCGCTCGATATGGACACTGGGAGGTGGAAGACACTGGCCTGCGATCACGACAAATGGAGACGGGCGCTGTGAGCTGGTCTCATCAATGGTGAAGCTCAACTGTGACAGGCTGCTGAGGACAAACGCCGTAGCCGAAAGAACAGCCAGAGGCTACCAACGCAGGAAGACATCGCTCACAAGTGCAGCCACTGCAACAGGGACTGCCATTCTCATGTGGGCCTGTTCCGCCACAGCAAGCGCGCCTGCTCTTGAGAAACCTCCTGCGGCGCAGATCCATAGTCTCCTGAGACTGAAGGATGCCCTACATCATAGCTGCCACTCAGGAATTTCCAAAAGGGAAGAAATTCATGGGATGGCGTACGCACGTTCTCCGAAGGCCGGAGTAAAACCAGTGAGATCCAGAGGCAATATATTGGAACATCTACCCTATCATTTTGGAATGGAAAACTGTCATGTTTGTTAACCATAAGCTACTGAATTAAAATGTACTAAAAAAAAATAAATCCAAGACACTAAGTTGACTAACAAGCATTTGACACAGTTTGGTGACTAAAAATCCAGTGTTTGTTGCCAGCTGGTGTCTCATAAAAAGATTTCTTTCACTTTAAACTTGTGCATCCATGTAGAGCAGTATTGGATCAAGGAGGTAACACCTTTGCCACTGTACTGAGCGATTTCTTTATCGCACCAAACGCAAAGTTCAGAAAGCAGCTTGTTCAATTTTCTAATAAACTTTTCAAGTCGAAAACTGTCTGCTTCTTTCTCATTCCAGCTCCTTTTATTTGTGCACTCAGCATCAATTTCTCTCGAATTTCCACCGTTTTCAAAGACAACTCGGTAAGCCATCGTCCCGGTGCTCGATCGACACTGTTGCTCCACAATAAACAATGTGAAACTAGCGCTAGGCAGGAACAGAAGTAGAAAGCTACGAGTGGACATGCGCAAGGCGTGTTTTCATCTCTCTCCCGGTTCAGTGTTATCCGCATGTAAAAAAAAAAAATATCGCAATTTGCGACCGAGAGCGGTCCAGCGGAGGAAGGAGGAAAGTAGCGGGAAAAGCTAGATGAAGCGGAGTTTCCGCTATTTAGCGGAAAAGTGGCAGCTATGATACATACAATGCCAGAGTTGACAGCCTGTGCGAATAGCAGGGTTGTTGTGGTTATTGTTTTCAAATCCCTTTAGCTGCGAACATTTCGCTCTTGGCAGCTCGTGAATAGCAGGGTAATTCGTATTCCACTTTTGTAAGCGCCACCTAGCACTTTTTGTGGATTCTGGCACGTTATAAATTCATTTATTATTATTATTATTATTATTATTATTATTATCACACAAAATTCTTCACAAACAAGCTCCACGACACGACAGAAGCCCTCATCATAACTCCAGGGATGCCAAATGATTTTTGAAAAAACACCTGAAAATGAGTGGAACATCACATCTCACCTAAAACAAACCTTGTAAAGTTTTTAAATGAGCGCACAAAAACATCTCTCTTACCTCTCCCCTTTCCTTTGCAAGGGTATGAGGACTTTGTTTAATCAATTCCAGTAATATTATATCTGTCTTGAGAAGAAGGACCTTATGTCAGTGGCCTTCTCCTTCAGGGATTCCAAATGGTTTTTGAAAAAAAAAACCTGAAAAACCTGAGATTTTACATCCCTGTAACTCACTGTTGAGCCTGTTGTCCAGGTCCCGGGAGAGAGTCATGTACCACTGGTGAGACACCTTGGAGAACTTCTTCATCCCCAAGCCCACTTCCGTCAGGGCCTCGTCTAGCGCTGAACGCACACCCTGAAGGATAAAATAAAGGCAGGATGATAACTGCGAAAAATAAAGGTAGGATGACAATTACAAAAATAAACATAGGATGAAAACTGCAAAAATAGAGGTAGGATGACAATTAAAAAAATAAAGGTAGGATGAAAACTGCAAAAATAAAGGTAGGATGACAATTACAAAAATAAAGGTAGGATGAAAACTACAAAAATAGAGGTAGGATGACAATTACAAAAATAAAGGAAGGATGAAAACTGCAAAAATAGAGGAAAGATGATAATTACAAAAATAGAGGTAGGATGATAACTACGAAAAATAAAGGTAGGATGACAATTACAAAAATAGAGGTAGGATGATAATTACAAAAATAAAGGTAGGATGATAATTTTATAAATAAAGGCAGGATGATAACTACAAAAATAAAGGTAGGATGATAATTACAAAAATAGATGTAGGATGATAACTACAATTAAAAGGTAGGTGATAAGGCAGGATTATGATGACAAAAGTAAACGTAGGATGATGATTACCCTGCACAGTCAATTAAATCAGAAATATTGCTCAGTGAGACAAGAAAGGTTTTTTTTGCCTTTTCAAGGAATCTACTTGGTGCCGTGAGGAATGTAAAAATGTAACACTCTGTTCTGTTTCACTTAAAATGTTTAGTTTTAGTTTCAGTAAGCATGTCACAGCGCTGGCAACACAATTAGGTCATACAGGTGCAGAAGATAGGAGGAGTTGCAAGAGGGTAACACACACAAAAAAAAAGAAGGAGAAGAGATAAAGATGATACATGTTAGATAAGAAAGAAGGAGCAGGCCACACCAGAGCACCCGCCAGATGCCCACATTTAAAAAGCTTGTTTTTGGGAAGGAACATCTTACTCAATGTATAAAAAGTAAAGCTGTTCCCGCATCCGATCTGGACATTGGGGATTGCCTGGTTAGTCAGACTTCCTGGGCCTGCGGCATATTGTGGTAGGGTAGCCAGTTTCCTTTCCACGCCACCTTTACTTCCCTAACTCGAAGTCAGGTACCCATTACTGCTGGGTGGGCAGGAGGAGGCAAAAAAAATCCGTGTCCGAACCGAGGCTCGAACCCGGACTTTCCGCATCGGAGACAAGTGCACTAACCGCTCCGCCACCGCACCCTCACTCAATGTATACTTAGCATAAAAGTCACCAAAAGTGAGCATCAGAGGTGCCAAAAGGATCGTCAAAAACTTACCCTGATGCCCCTGACCAGACCCTGCACTGCGGAGTTATACCTCTGGGCCACGGGGAAACTGCTCAGATCAGCCAACCAGTCCTTGGCGGCCTGTGTGACCTTCACGTGGTAGGAGCGGTAGTTCATCATCAAGTTGTTCATCTCAGTCCTGTGGAACAACAGCAGCTAATTGGTCGCTTTTAAGGAAAAGCGAGCTAACCCAGATTTCGGTGGTTTTCAGAAATCTTGATCTATACCAAAAGAGGGCATTGCCCTGCCTATAGGAGAAGTTTGGTTTCATTGGTGTGTATATTTGTTTGGTTATAGAAAAAAACTCTCCTTGTCTTTTAAAGAAACTGAACAAGGGTACAAAAGCTTTACCTTCGATTTTCTCAAAACATTATTTTTCGGGATAGCCCCCTTGTGCTTAAAAATGACCAATTAACATTTAACATAACCATCCGCAACAAATTACTTGTAATCTCCATTATAAAGAACAAATTCCATTGAAAAAAAAATTACTCGCTTTCTTATTCAAATTTTAGAGTACCACTGAGTAACATGAAAAACAGAACCCCATTGCAAAGAACAAATTCCACTGAAAAAAAAAATACTCACTTTCTTATTCAAATATAAGGCACCACTGATAAACATTAAAAACTATCAAGAAAATCTAAGCTGTGCTGATACATGATAAAACCTAAGAGTTAAAACAGCTGAAGAATCTACTGATACCTTGATTCCAATTCTCTCTCATACAAAGGTTTGTCTCACGTGGGGAAACTCTTGGCAAGCTTTCCTTGCAGCATGCGTCGCCACCTATGGTGGGTTACAATGATGGGGTACAATGATGGCGTACAATACTTACATGATTTCTTTAAACGCAGCCTTGGCTTGGTCTCCCATGTCTTTGATGTGAAGGTCGTTTCTCAAATATGCCCGACGAATCTGGGTGTTAAGAGCACCCAGCTGACCACTGTACAGAACAGACAAAACATTTAGATAAATTTCCGCTTCATAAGCTCAAACACAAAAGTAAATAGACCCAAACAGGGATACTGCGAATCATAGTTGTCGTTAAAAAAAAATTAGCAGCTCCGTTCTCCAACGTTTTACAGTGTGGTGTAAGCGCACCTTAAGAATATAGGACATGTAGTGTGAACGCACCTTTAGAATAGTTCTTGTGACGTAGGCCTAAAGGACATATCACGTGACTGAGACCTCATGTGATTTTGTGCAAGCCGCGGGTAATCTAAGTGTCACTCACTCACTGAAGCCGAAATGAGTAACATCGGCTAACCAAGAACAACCAGAAGACCAGAAGGTGGTGCCCCACCAACATCAACTATCATCTAGATCTACTACTGCAAGACTCAAGTAAGTCGTAACATAACATACAGTATAAGGGAACGTCGTTAGAAGAGTGACAGCTCTGATATTTTCTATACTACAAATTTTTAATATGAACAAATTGTAAATTTCAAAGCCATGATTTTGATTCATAAACAAATGAGACTTCCTAAAGTCAGTTCACTACAAAGTACATTTTTCTTGAAACAAGGACAATGTTTTTTTCACAACATAGTTCAAATACAAACATATTTACAATTTGATATCAGTGAATCAATAAATGACTTTCTATCGCCACTTCAGTACATAATATTTTAGAAGTATTATCAATATAACATGACCGCGGTTATTTAACTCATTCGCTACGCCGAGCCCTGGGCAGCGGCGCGGCGAAAGTGTCTTTCGTACGCCAAGCAACCCCCGACGGCTCAAGAACCGACCTATAATTCTAGCTTAGATTTTATTCCAAACCACGTATCCATGTTAAAATAAAGGTTATAATATAACACTGACTTCCGGGTCAAGCGTTTCCACCGAAAATCAGAAGTTTAGATTCAGTTTTGAAATGCGATTTCGTAGTTTATGCGACTTTATTTTATCGCAATGCCAAAATTATAGCCCAGACACCAGTCTTAGTACTTTCACACAACAAAAATAATGTATAATTATTTTGCTCACTAAATAAATAATATTGATACTATTGGACTCAAATTGCCAATGCACTGTTATTGAGGAATCAAATTTTTGAGTGCTAGATCTAAATTGTCAAAATATTCTTTTCTCCCCAAAATCACTACTTTTTGGTGAAAATACACAAAAAGTGCCATTCAAGACAAGTATAGGTTTATTCCAAATACAATTCTGAACAATTTCATATAAAATACTAGTGGTTTTTTTCTGTTTGTGATCCTTTTTTCAAGATTTTTTTTTTTTAAATTTCAATATCGGATGTTATGATCCAAATATACAAATATTTAGGGAATGTATGTAAATAACTGCAAATGTTTCAATATTTTCCAGTTCTATATTCGTTTATGGTTATTTTGATGTATCATTTGACTAGGTGCAAACATATTTTTTGAGTTTCACCAAAGATTATTAATTTTTTATCCCCAAAGACCTGTGAACTGCGCACTAGTCATCATCTCATTTCGCCCTCTCAAAAAAAATTCTTCCACAAGCCGAAAATAATAGGTAGCGAATGAGTTAATCTTACCTGGTTTTGGATCTTCCCAAAACTACACATACCACAACTCTGCAGTACTCTGACAAAACGCCTTTTTCTTATTCACAGCAGTTTTGAGAAATCAACTATTTTCAGTTTTCTTACATCTGTCCAGCACAGACAATGACATTTCTCTTCAGGGTGCGAGATCAACTGTTGACGTACTGGGCAAAATAGTATAACTATTATAAGAAAAATGCAAAAAGCTTATTTCTCAAAACTGCTGTGAATAAGAAAAAGGTGTTTTGTCAGCGTACGGCAGAACTGGAAATCTCTTTGTCAAATCCTTACCAATAGCTAACCAGAGGTGCCAACTAGGAACAAATAAATCCAGAACTTTTCGGACCCTGCGGAAATGTGCACATGGGGACTCAAATATGACCAATCATTGTCTCTAATACATCCCATTTTAAGACTGTTTTTAGATAAAGTGTAACTTCACAACAATTGGCCTGATGTCGGACAAAAGTCAGACAATATCAGGAATCCGGATTTATCCGCACATTTGGCATCTCTGTTTTGCACTTACTTAAGACTCTCCATTTCCTTCTCCATGAGGGAGAAGACCTGTTCCAACTCTGAGCCGAGCTCCTTGGACATCAAGACATATTTGGCCTTCACCTCAGTCCCAACACTGGTGGAAGCGTCGTTGAAAGTCTGCATGGCTATGTAAGAGAATGCTGTGACCTTGGTGCTCAAAAATGTCTGTAAAGAAAACGATAAACAAATTAAAAACCTAAAAAACATATCTATCAAAAAGGAAGGTGAAGCTTTTATACAGTTATACAAACAACTACTTGAAGGATAATGTGACATAAGAAATAAATACAACCACAGCACAGACACAAAATTAACAACAGCTGGATGCCAAGTAAGGCTACGGCACACTCACAAAGCAGTCCTAAACACTTAACTCTTTGAAGAAGCGCCCACTTTCCTTTTCTCAATACCCTGTGACGCACCTTCTTCGCCCTTTTTTACCAGGTCACCATTTCTTTCCTATCAACAGAACAAAAATTACACTTACACCACTAAAAAGTAACATTTCTTTACTTTTCCCTCATACCAATCAATCATACATTCACAATACCAGTTTTACCTTGATCAAGGCTGCAAGATCACTATAGTTGCCCTCAAAATAAAAATCTTTTTGACAAGATGAGACTTAGAGGTCAGGTAAATCTAGATCTACCACCCAATGGTACAGATTCATCATCACCACTACCATCTGAACTTTCTTCTTCTAACTCTAAATCTAACTCCTCATCACTGCCATCATCCATTAACAACTCCAAAACTTCTTCAGTCCACATAAAACCACATCGCATGAAGCTCCCCATTTTGGATAGAAACTGCGACATTTCAACCGAAACAACTGGCCTAAAACAAACGCCATGTAAAGCTATCCTAATTCCAAAGCAAATTAAGAAAATCAACCAAATTATAGGGCTTTGGACGAGCTTTCCAAAGATATAGGGGTTGTCTACCTTAGACCACTAGTTTAGCAAATAAACACGTTTAAAATCATCAGTGGATAATCCGCTGACACGGCGACAACGGTAGGTTCCCCTGTCAGCTGTTCAGAGGTAATAAGCCCCCAAATTGTTGGAAAATTTCATTGCAGTTTTTTAACTCTTTGAACCCCATCGGGAGCGTCCGACACTAGTGACAACTGTTTCATTTTATTTAGTGCTAGTTTTTGCTTGTTTTTCGGAACTATTCCCGAACCAAGTTTTTTAGTAATGACTAAACCTTTGTTTCTGCCACTTAGAAGTTGGAGGCAAGCTTTTGGGGTTATAATGAGACATAGTGCATAGATTTAGGTGACTGTAGAAAAAAACTCCGGGAAACGGTGGAAAAAACTCAGGGCTTAAAGAGTTAATCAATGGTATTGGCCGCACACTCGTGAAATATTTGGTCGAAATTCAAATTCTAAAGGCTACAACAGCAAGAAAAATTGCTTAAAATTCATGCAAAGTTGTTAAAAGAATGAAGCCATTTTTCCTCTCTCCTGAAAAATATAGCTTTCTGGGCTAAGGACATTTGAAACTCTTACTGACGATATGCATTCTGTAAATATGCAATTCATTTTCATGTTCATCTAGTTTTGGGTTTTCTCTTCAAAGAACCCACACTGCTGTCTTTCCCATAAAAGCATCTTCAAATTTAAGCTATAAAATTAAATCTTTTTCCCATGTTTACATTTGTACCACCTCTACTTTTTGTTCCTAACAGTGAAACTATCAACAACTCAAAGTATGTTTCATAAAAAAGAAATATCAAGAAACTGAGAAGTGTTCGGAAGTGAATCAGATATATAATACAAGTTAATAAAATGACCAAAAACTAATATAATTCCATCTAAAGCTTTTTTTTTTTTACAGAGGTGCCAACTGGATACCAAAAAAGTCCTGAAGTTTTAGGACCTGCGGGGACTCAAAAATACATCTTGCATCATTGTCTAAGCTGTTCTTATTTAAAGAGCAAAATGCCCAGCACAAAAAAAAAAAGAGACAAAAATTGTTTTTAATGTATCAGTAGGCAAAATCCTGACAAATCTAGATTTCAGGATATATCCGGAAAATTGGCACCTGTTTTACTTTTATAGGAACATAGCACTCACAGTTTATAATTGTAGTATTCTGAAAGGTTCAAACCTGAAGTTCATCAAGCAGAGTCGGGCGCCATGTGATGCGAGTGTGCAGTATGTTGGAAGAATTCAATCGGACGGCGATCATGCTCTCTGAGGTAAACTGTCCCTTGGTCTGGTAGGTGATGAGGTCCATCTGTACAGCACTGTCGTTGATGTAGCGGCCGGAGAGGGTCACCATCTTGTCGGGGTCATCTGAGGGAAACAATCTTAGTTCATAAAAAAACTGTGAAAACTACAACAAAAAGAATATCAGAAAAGGAAACTGAGGAAACAATCTGATTTCAGAAAAAAACGCCAAAACCACAACTACAAAAAGAATATCAGAAGAGGAAATACAAAGTCTAAAACAGCCATATGCACAGCTCACAGCCGAACACTCTGTATCCCGGACTCTAGCATGGAGATCATCAGGAGAGAATGCGTCGCTGTTTCGGGCTCTTCCTCTCTACAGCTTAAGGCTAAAACAGCACCTGGACATGGATGGCTGGTGCCTCTACAAATAAATCATTGATGGTCTGGTCTCTCTACAGTTTTTCTGACGCACCGAGCCCCCCTCACCAGGTGAGGTCTCCATGCTAGTCTGACTGTTTTCCTCTGCTGCCAACTCTTTGGATTCATTCCAGCCTGCGTCCTCTCGCTTTTTTTAAAAGTGCGATAACCGTAACAAAAAGAATATCAGAAGACTTTTAATTTGCTGTAAAAATTCAAAAGTTTGAGTTTACTAAACAAGTACTTTCATCACTCATCTACAGCAGGGTTGTCAAATTCAATCGCTCAGGTGACCACACTCAAAGTACACTAAAGGTTGCGGGCCCAACTGGAGAAAAACTCAGTATGCAGTGGAAAAAGAAACCCCTATATAAACAATGACTCTCAGGATGGATTACCTAAAATGATCTCGAAGGCCGGATACAATGGTTCGCCAGGTCGGACGCTGCCCGCAGGTCATGATTTTGACACTTGTGATTTACAAGAATGAGACCCGCTGAGAAATAACATTCTAGATTTTCTTTCACATTGCTACAGCAGATGCTTCACTTAGAATAAACTAAAAATAAGGTAAGACCGGAGTACTTTTATTTACCATACAATTTCATTTTTAACTGCTCATCCTTGTATTCCACCATTTTTGAAGAAAAATAATTGAGGAAATGTGAAAACCCAGGGGCTGAGTGGAAAGTGAAAGTTAAGCTCACATGGAATGTCAAGTGATGTCAGTGTGATGGATGTACCTATGAGCAACACTGTCCAACCCTTACAAAAAATCTGGCCTTGCATCTGAAAGATCAGCAGCATTGGAATGTGACTTTTAAAAAAACAAGTTATGCTATGTAGTCATCAGTATATGTCCTTCAGGGTTAAAAAAAAAGAATTCTTTCCAGTGGATCACATTGACAACACACTCTATGGAAAAGGACATCAACTGCAGCAAACCTGCACTTATCACTACATAGCATCGGACAGAAGGGCGAGTGCCCAGCTGTTGCTAGATCAATAACAACAACAAAAACAACAGCAGCAGCAGCAGCAGCAGCAGCAGCAGCAGCAGCAGCAGCAGCAGCAGCAGCAGCAGCAGCAGCAGCAGCAGCAGCAACAACAACAACAGCAACAACAACAACTCCAGCGCATCAACACAAACGTCTTTCCCTTTCTTTTTTCTTCACCTTGATCATAGTTGAACTCCACGTCCATATTCCTTCTCTGGCGGTCTATGGCCAAATCAAGCCGCATGGTCTGTTTGCCCTCCTCGAAGCTCCTCCACACCGCGTGCTGGCGGCCACGCTTGTTGTCCAGACGACCTTCCACTCGGACGTCTTTGATGGGAGTGACCACCTGGTGAGACGGCAAGGGTGAACGGTCAAAAAGCAGGAAGTCGCAGACTTATTAGTCGACGAATGTGCTCCTTTTTAAAGGAGTAAACAAATATGACATCAGCTTCTCTTGCTTTTTTTAGTGAGAGTTTTAACGCACTCATGACACAAATAATGTTATTAAAGAGTAGATTACAAAAGAAAAGGAGAAGAAGTAAGGATGATAGGTGTTTGAAAGGAAAGAAGACACAAAAAACACACAAGAGCACCCGTCACCCACCAACTCAGCTTCTCTACGTACAAACTGCTCTCATAAGTGGAAAGCTAGTTGCCAGACAACAAAAATTAGGCTCCCCATTGCAACTCATCTCCTTCATTTTGGTTTTTTATTCCTTTTACGTCCGGATTGCAGGGAGGGGGGATAACTGACAGAAAGGGGGCTATCCCGAAAAATGCTGTTTTGAGAAAATCGAAGGTAAAGTTTTTACCCCGTGTTAAGTTTCTTTAAAAGACAAGGAGAGTTTTCTCTATAACCAACCAAATATACACACCAATGAAACCAAACTTCTATAGGTTGGGCAATGCCCACTTTTTGTGTAGGTCAAGAATTCTGGAAACCCCCAAAATCTGGGTTAGCCCGCTTGTCCTTAAAAGCGACCAAATAATATTACAGATTTTGTAAATATTAGATAAAAGACCAATCAGTGTTAGCCTTCTGCAACCTGCATTGAAAAAGAAAAAACAGAGAAACAGATTTTGAGTACTGGGTGTCTTGAATTTTAAAAAAGCACAACATCAACCCAAAAATATTCATACAGTGCTGGGAAAAGGCCGCTACCCCAGAATTACAAAGTTCTACCTGTTCAGTAACTAGTTTTAAGAAATTTCACGGGAAAAACTTTTGAGTTTCACAACATGCCAAGCTTTTTCGAATGCACTGCTTTGAATATTTTGATAACGACCCCGAATAATCTAACGATTTTGATAGAACATTTTTGGTTTCTGACCTCAAGGTCTTAGTAACTCAAAACGACCAAAAGTCTTAGATAAAAATTTTGTAATTCTAAGGTAGTGGGGTGACAAAGTTACGAACAAGAAACTCCAACCTGAATTTCCATATTCTTCCTGGCTTTGTCCAGCTGTGCTCTGAACTCCAAGGTCTTCGTCTCTCTGCGAGCCGTGTCAAAGGTCAATCGGGAGCCTGTGGAGCACATATTCTCTGTGCTGCCCATGTGAGAAGTCAGCTGGGGAAAAAAAAAATTACGAACAAGCCCGTCAGTGTGACAGTCATAATCTAATCAAAACTTTAGTATTTTTTAGTTTTAGTAGAGGTTTTACGGCGCTTGCAACTGCATAAGGTCATATGAGTGCCAGAAGATTAGAGGTGACACAAGAGAGTAACCAACATAAAAAAGAAGAAGGGGAGGTAAGGACGATAGATGTTTCATAGGAAAGAAGAAGCAAACCACACCAGAGCACCCGCCAACCACCCATATGGGGAACTCTGTGCCACCACTTTCAAAGAGGATATTTACTCGTTAATCCGATCTCTTCGCTTTGCATAGCAGTTTGTCAAAATGGTTTTTTGAGAAATACTGAAAGTTTCAAAGAGATCTTCGTACTAGAAGTATTCTAAAAGGTGAAGAATACAACCCCCGGGGGTACAAAATGACCCCAGGGCGTATGGACAGGGTTAATCTATGCAAAACTGACACCCAGATATGAATGCAAAACTATATACCTAAGCATGGAAGAGGCTACTTGGGTACTATTAGATGACAAGTGCTCTTCCAGTAACAAAATCAGAGACAAAAGCAGAAGGATGGAGATGAAAGAAAGACTAAAAAAGGAGGAACAAGACATTGGTGAATGGTTAGATGAAGCATTATGACAGAAGGAAGACTTGCAAATGGCATCCAAGTCACTAATATGTGCTGGAAAGATGATGTAGACATCTGAATAAAAAGGGTTAAAAATTATAAAAATTTAAATAACATAAAACAGTTTTAGAAACTGACTGTAGCCATGAAAAAGCGAAGATCCAACAATATGGTACAAATAAAAGAAAAACTTCGGCTGATCAGCTTTCTCCCACTTTACTTTCATCATAAATAGGTGAATGTATAGTGATTATATTGTGAGGCGCGCAAATGCGCACGCACACGCGCATGCACACACACACACACACACACACACACACACACACACACACACACACACACACACACACCCACACACACACATACACACACAAATGCATAAACACACAAGACATTGAACTATCAATTTTTTGTACAAGTTAAAAGCCCCACTAGACAAAACAAAGAGTCAGTTCAAAGAACATCAAGAGTAATCATTCACTGCATGTCAGTCTCAATATTCTCGACGTTATATCATGATCATTATCATCATCATCATCATCATCATCATCATCATCATCAAAACCAAGAATATTTTCTTCCTCTCTCTTTTGGTTTTTTCTTGAAGCATAACAATTATTATCCCATTGACACACTTTCGATGTAACTTACAAATATCCAGCATCAAAATCAAATAAGGACACAGAACCAAATCAAAAAGTTTTTTTTTTAAAAAGAAAAAGAAAGAAAAAAAAGAAAAAAGAAAAGTCAGTTCGAGGGATGGGATTACTAAAGAAACATATATCGAGACACAATAACTTTTACCTGCATGTCAATGCCAGTGACAGGATGCATGAAGCCCAGCTCCACCGTGTAGTTGTAGAACTTGTCCGAGAGCAGCTCCTGGTTGCTGACCTTTGAGGTGATGGTGATCATCTTCGAGGGGTCGGAGGAGTAGGACAGTTCCGCCTTCGTGTCCAGTAGGGTGGTGCCATAGCCTCCCTTGCTGGTCACTCCCAAGTTCAGTTGCTGGAGGGATAAGATTTTGAGTAGTTTTGAGTTGAAAAAAGCAAATAGACGCAATAGAAAGATTTTGAGTAGCTTTGAGTAAAGAAAAGCATACCAACACAAGAAAAAGATTTTTAGTAGATCGATGCAATAAAAATTTTTGAGTAGCTTTGAGTTAAGAAAAGCAGATCGATGCAATAAAAATTTTTGAGTAGCTTTGAGTTAAGAAAAGCATATCAACACAAGAAAAAGATTTTCAGTAGCATAAAGAAAAGCATATCAATGCAATAAAATTCATTTCGCGCTGGGAAAAGACGACACAGACAGAGAAAAAATAGGGATAGTAAAGATGTAGGACCTATGAATGGTGCCCTCAAACAGTCCGAGAAAAGAATTTTGCTACCTATGTATGAAGTTAACACCATTTCAAAAATAAAAGCTTGTTCTGAAGGTGGATGATCCCTAAGAGTGGGCGTTCTAGACAGACCATCACAATATGGGGCTGGGCAGTTACAGAGGAAAGAAGCCACTCATACACTGATGAAATTATGTGTTAATAGAGGTGGAAAAAACCTTGGCAGTGCTAAAATATGACCTAACACAACACAATAATTTGATGCCTTACTGATGAACAGTTGCAAAAACACTATAGCAACCTCATATGATCTCATCTACTTAAACTAAACAAACTCACCAGTGTATAAGAAAGGTTCAAAACTACTTTTACACAGAAGAATCTAAAGGTACAAGACTTCTCGGATGTTTATCTGAGTGAATAGATGCACATTGACACCACACTGGTCATTAAGGATTTGTGGAGACAGTAAGAGTAATAGATAGAAACAACAGAGGGAATAAAAAGGAGCAGGGCCTACCAGTGCTGTATCCCATCCACACAAAATACTACTGACCAAAGGCAAAACAACAGTCCAACAATTGAATACCTTGTTGATGTTAGGGAGGTTCACATTCAACACCACTCTCTTTGTCTTGTCCTTCGACTCCACAGTAGTGCTCATTGTCACCTGAAGGGAACAGACAAAAACACAAAACACACAAAAATAAGGTAAAGGTGTGAAATTGAAAAGATTAAAGAGAGATAGAAACTGCATATATTTGAAAATAGTTACAAACACAAGATAGTTTTATCTATTTGGAAATAATCGACTTTGTGGTGACAAGTCAACAACAACAAAACCAATTTTTTTAGAACTGTAACACAGGTGGAGGAGGAGGGGGAAGTAACAATTTAGAAAAAAAAACAAGAAGACGACAAAGAAAACAGGAAAATGAAAGAAAAGAGAAGATAGGGTGGAGGACGAGAAAAGAAAAGAACAATGCAGAGGGAGAGGTGGAAAAGGATCAGAAGAGGATAAAAGGCAGCGAACAAGAACAAATAGTAGCCAGTCAGCTTCCCACACAAAAAATTTGGCCTCTTCCTAACCTTCTTGGTCTCATCCTTGTCAGCATCCCAGAAGACAGCGCTGCTGGCAGACTGCTTGGTACCGGAGTCACTGAAGGAGCTCTGCACCTTGACGCTACGCTCTGGGACTCCAAGTTTGGCGTGGCCTTCATACATCTTGCTGTAGCGAGACGTTCTGTCATTCCAGCCAATGTCATACGAGAAGGTCTTGCCTTTCTGCTGGTTCCACGTGATAAGTCCAGCTGACAGGAGCTCCTTGTCTGACTGCTTGAAGGAACAGTCGACACCCATGACTCTCGCTGGATTAAACACTTTGAACTTGAAGCTTTTGTCAACATTTTGTGACTCTGACTTGTCTGCGTACTCGGTCTCCATTTCTATGTGGCCCTCGGGATTGCGCTTGTCCCAGTTGAATTTCAATTTCCCGTCAAAAGCTTTGGTGCCAAGTGAACCAGAGCCTTCCACTGTGATTGGTCGCGGACTCCTGATCTCGACGGTTCCCTGATGGCGGTCGCTGTAATCGTAGTTGATATCGGCGTCCAAGTGTGTTTTGCCGTTGTGGTGGATCTTCACACTGTCCTGGATGTTCTTGTTGCCATAGACGTGGGTCAGGGCCACGCCAGCTTTCCTGAACTGCTCTAAAGTGGTCGCAACGTCCAGTTTAACCCTGGCCCGTTCCTTCCAGCTGGACTCGGAGATGCTCCAATCCAGATCCGATGTAATTTCTTGGTCTTTGCTCCATCCAATTTCCAGATGAGAAGTTTTGCCCTTGCTGGAATCCTTGTTGCTGAAGACAAGCCGAGCGTTCTCCAAGTTCTTTAAGGGACTTGACAGAGAAGTGGATCCTTCCATGTCCGAAGTAGAGACAAACCTCCACTTTGTCTCACTCTTGACAAGTCCAATCCTATTAGATTCCAAGGTGGCCACAGTTCTAAACTGCTTCCACTCTCTTCCCCAATGTTTGACATCTAGATCTACCATCTTAACTTCATCATAAGGACTCTTCAGCTTCAAATCAATGAGAACAGGCTCATTGTTGATATGGACATTGAAATCTAAAGTAACTGGAGCAGGATTCATGGCAAGTTTCAGATTTGCATCTCCCTCCACTTTGAGCTCCGTTTGATCATACTTGCCAGACACGACCAGAGATTCAAACTTTTCCACGGGGCCGGACAGCGTCAGTTTAAAGTTCTTCTTATTCAAGAACTCCACTTTGCCAGCAATACGTTCATTTTTACCGGTGACAACTTCACCATCGGCTTCAAATTTATTCCTCCTAGAAATCTGAGAGTACACCAAAGTATTCTTTTTGTAGCCCTCAATGGGCAAAGCTAAATCAGCCTTTACAGCAACCTTATTCTTTGTAGTCTTAGCAAGGTCAAAGGTCAGAACTGCTTCTTTATCATCTGTGTACTCCAAGTTACACTTGCCATTGAAGTGCTCAGGCTTTGCCATGACAGCGGCATGAAGACCAATGTCCTTGTACCCTTCAAATGGAGTGAAGACCAAAAGGTCCACCGTTTCCTGGCCTTTCTCGTTGGACTTTGCTTTCGTGTGCGTCATCTCTGCTTTGACCCAGTATTCATTGGCATAACTCTCCATGAAAACCTCTTCTCCCATCTTGGACCAATCAGCTTTCAAGGTGGTGCCACTCTTATGGCTAGACTCCTCAAACTTGTACTCAGTGCTAACCTTGTAGACGACAGAAGCATCTCGGAGTTTCACACTAGACATCGTGTCAAGGAAGAGCCGCTCGCCATATTTGACATATACTTTAGAGTCATGTCCACCGTTACTTTGACTTTCGCCACTGAGCAAGTAGGATAAAGCTTTCGTGTATGGACTCTCAAATGTGGTTCCCAGAGCAAATTTGGCTGGTGTATTTGAATACTGCATGGAAACATTGTAGGGCTTAGTGTCTCTACCAACTTGCAAGAAGCCGCCAACATCAAAATCGCGGGGTGAGTCCCCGATACGGTGTACTGAGGTCTTGATGTAGCTCTTGTCGGCGCCGGGGTAGACATAGCTCAGCCAAGCCTTGGTCTCTTTCTCCTCGTGCTTCAGGCCAATGTCCATGTCAAGGTCATTCTCATTGATTTCCATGAAGACTTTGCTCTGGAAGTCTGTCCACGACTTTGACTTCTTCCTGAAGCCCAGCACAGAGCGGCCAACTCTCGGTGCATCCAAGGTCAGATTGACAGCAGCCAGATCGCCCCAGTCGAAGTGCATCCCAGCACTGACTGTCTTAAACACAGAGGACTCAACTGTGAAGTCGCTGTGGCAAGATGTTTCCGAGCTGGCTTGTTCCACGTTAACCTTCAGATACTCAAGCTGCTTCGCTCCTGTCTTCAGGTCCAGATTACCAAGCCATTTGTCTGCATCTTTGTCCAGGGTGGTCTTAAAATTGAAAGTTGGAAGTACTTCAAAAGGAGTGCGGAGGTCAAGGAAGACCTTGGTGTTGTCAGGGAATCTGTTCTTGTTGAACTTGGTCTTAAACAGCAAATCAATTTCCTGTGTTGGGTGATATTTGACATTGACATGAGTTTTCACACCTCTGCGCTGCTCTTTGTGATCCAGACTGACTTCAATGAATTTGAACTCCGTGTTTGGTAGCAGCATCTTGTACTTCATTGAAATATCCGGCTTCAAAGTGAGAGTCTGTTCAACTTTGACACGATTGAAAACTGGCTGTACTTCAAGGTGGGACTCGCTGGAGTAGACTCCATCTTTTTCCACCAGGTTGTGTCCAACACTCAAGCTGGTCATCTCTTTGTACGGAGTTCGGATCTCTGCGTTTATCCTCTGCCACTTTTCTGCGTCCACAGTGGAAGTGATGGTGATTTTCTCCCGAACACCCACGGATATCTCCCCATCCAGGTTCCAGTCAGTCTCTGTCATTTTTTTCACATCTCCCCTGATGTTGACGTTTTGCGCTTCCTCAAATGGAGTCACAAGTTTGGCAGTTGCGGACCATCCACTGAATGTGTTCTCATCCACTGAGCCATCAAACACTATTTTCTTTTCAGATGGAGATTTCTCGCCAGGCCAAGTTGTCTGCGTGTACACAGTGTACGGGAATTTAGAATACAGGGCTCTCAAAGTGAAAGTGATTTTCCCAGCAGTGTAATCTATCTCAGTTTCTGTCTTAGAGAGCATGTATTTGGTATCGTATGTGGTTTTAGGGTCCTCATTGAATCGATAGAAATAATGACCTTTCATGCCTTTTTGCTCAGTACGTGCAAAATATTCAATTCTCTTCATTTTCTCCAATGGCAGTTTTATATCAACGTCATATGCAGTGTCTTCACCAGTCACACTGTACTTTGCCCCCGCTTTCACATCAAAGTTGTACTCAGGTTTCCAGTCCAAAGACAGGGAAAAGTTCATGAGTTTGCCATCGTTTCCAACTTTGCTGGGAATCATTTTCAAATTCATTGTGAGAGGCCTCTCACTTGGAAACGTCACATCTAGGGAAGACTGCACCAGCCAGAGTGATTCTACCTTGGAGTACTGAGAGATCATAGTGCCAGTGTACTGGTCACCATTTCTTGTGTAGGCTGCCTGAGTCTTAATCCTCTTCTTCATGTCATTGTACTTCAGAGTCAAAGCCACATTTTTTATCTGAGGCAGGGAGGTCGAGGACACAATCAGAGATACATCCAGCTTCTTTTTGTTGTTGTGCTCTTTGTTGGAGTAAAGCACTTTCACCGCTACATCATCTTTGTTGTAGACCGACTTCACTTTGGTAGACAAGTGCTTGGTGCCATCCATTTTGTGATTGATTTCAACATTGAATTTTCTCAACACGTCTGCCGGAGTGACCAGATCAAAAGTCATCTCAACCCTTTCTGCAGACAAAGGCAAGTGCACCCAAGTGGAGTAGGACAGTTCATTTTCCTCCACAGCCCAAATGACCTTCAGCTCCTGCTTTGCAAAAGTGTTATTTGCTTCTTGCAAATCTCTGTACTGGAAAATCTTGTAACCTTCAAAGGGAGTGTTCACGAGTATGTTGGCTTCATGCTTCCTTTTGTTGTTTTCATTTAGGACCGTCAGAGAGGCAAGCAGATCAATTTTTTGGTCCGGCTGACGATCAGCATCCCAAGCTTGAATCATTTTTACAGTGTACTCATTGTCTTCTTGCTGAAAACCTTCTAGCGACCCTTTGACCCTTCTCTCTGGTGACTTGAAGTTCCATGTATTCAGATAATACCGTTCCCCTAACGTTTCAGAGCTCACCTCGTATTCATATTTCCTTTCCGTGCTCATGAAATCCAAAACAGCTTTGACTAACTTTTCACCTCGGGACAACTCAACAGTCATTGTAGCGGGTTTCTCCCCTCCAACTTGAGCCTGAGAGTATAGGTCAAAGAAGCCACCTCTCATTTTCTTGAACTTTGTCACCAAGTTATGCTTATCTTTATTGTTTACTCGCAGGTTTATGGTGTGGATATATTCTTTCTCAGGGGTACGCTGAAGATTGGAGGCAATTTTGTAACTTCTCGCATCCACAGTTTTCCCCCTGATCTTAAAATCAGGAAAACTGAGCTCCAATAATCCGCGGTAATCCAGCGAAGACTTCTTGCCTGTGTTCTCTCCTTGGAGTCTGAACTCGATACTCTTCCGTTTAGCATAGATAATGTTTGTGTACGTTTCAAAGCTGAACTGCTTGCCAAGCTTATGCTCATGTTTGCCTTTCACCTCGTATTCAATGTTCTGAAAAGGAGGAAAAGAAAGAAACATATTTAACTCTTAGAAGTCATTGCCAATTTTCCTACTTTGTGGCAGCAAGTTAAGTTTGAAAAATGTCAGCATTTTCAGCATAAAAAATATATGCTTCAAGCTACAAGCATGTATGACCCACCAAAAAATTGTTTTAAATAATGGAGACTTAATATATAATTACACTACAGGAAAGCATTATATTTATGGCAAGTGAGGAAAATGACCCCCCCCCCCCCCCCCCAATAAAATAACATCTAGTCTCATGTTTTAAGAATCAAGTCCCTCTCAGCCTATGACACTTCAATTTTATTCCAACAATTTCTGAACCAGAGACCCCAAGCCAAAACATTATTCCTTCACATAATTATGAGAGCACCACAGATTTTGTTTCCTAGGTAACTATTTTGTTATTCAACTGCTGTTGAATTTGTATCTGTTAAGGAAAAGGGAGCTTAGAGCCAAAAGCTGCACTAGGAAATACAGAAAGTAGAGGAGGAAAAGCTGAAGAAATTCACAAAACTAAAAGCCACAGTCATGTCAGGGAAATAATAGATAGCATTTGTATAGCGCAAATCCCCGCTTAACAGCAAACTCTATGCATTTCACAATCTATACTATTACCCCAGCAGACCTTATAGCATTCTTAAACAACCTCAACTTCCTGGGAAGCATACAGTGCAAGCAGCCATTTATAGGCGCTAAAACACTAACATACTGACAAGACCTTTAGCTGTCTATGACCAGATACCCATTCCCACCTGCGTGAAGTGAGGGTAATTCGTGTAAAGTGCCTTTCCCAAGGACACAACGTCGGGCCTGCGGCCCAAACCCCCGAACCCGCAAAATAATTAACTGTCAAGCGCATAGTACTTACTTTCAAGAAGGGGTGTGAGCTGCATACATGCAATCTATCAAAACAGTTATCATTGGAAGTCACTTTGAGTCTCAATCTTTCAATTATTCAGTCTCACTTGGTAAAAGATAAGAACCATTTAATACAACTAGAACATTGTTCATCCATTCACCTTTGGTGGATGTATGACTTGCAGGTCATATCTGATATCAGCAGACTCCGGGTCAATGATGTGATAAAGAGTGGCGCCCAGGGTGGTCATTTTGCTCTTATCTTTGAGAAGCTGTGCCTTGGCTCCTTGCGTCATGCTGAACATGACTTTGGATAATGTTGCTTTGTGACTCAGTTCGGTGTTGGTGACAAAACTCCCTTCTGGATATTTCTTGTTGTCCATGTTCCTAAGGTTAAAAAGCAAAAAAGAAACCATGTCATGTTGAGTGTTATCTGCATCCATGATGTCACATAACACCTATTTTGGCTAAAAAGAAAAAAAATCAACTGAACGCTACTGAACGATATGAAGCATGGTCATCTTATCTCCAAGGGATGTACATTGCTGCCACAGGCTGACAAAATGCCTTTTCCTTATTCAGCTATCTCGATACAAAAAGGCATTCCATTCCGTCAGCATGACCATTCAAAAAGGGCGTTCTTCCAAAATTTGAATTCTAATTTATTGCAAAACTAGTCACAGTTTCAGATCAGGCGATCAATTTAGCAAATAAAAAACTTGATGCCAAAAATGAAAAAAGGTGTTTTGTCAGCTTAGGGCAGATTGGTCTTAAGATGAAAGGTTCCATCTTCACAGATAACATTTTCACTTACAACTATTTCAAATTGATATTTCAGTAGAGCAATAAAAAGTTACGGCAAAAATATCGTAAAGCTATAAGTGACATTCTCCTCCCCCCATCCTACACGCACTAAGAAAAACTCCACTAGCATCATCCCCCATCTCTTCAATTTTCCAATTCCCTTTTTAAGGTAGCTTATGTTTTATTAGAACTTTCATTTTTTTAAATTTAAAACAACGAGCTAAAAAGAAACATTTGTGAAGAATATCCAGTGTAGTATTGCATGGACTTCACATCCCTTTTAACACTGTATGGTCATTTAAGTAGCTCCCCTTAGCCCAGCAATATAAAAGTTTGCCTTCCACCGATTTCAAGTTACCCCCCCAAAAAAAAGTCAAAGAGCTCAGTTATAGACAACCCCCTCACATACACAGGCTCACACAACCTCATATTATAGAAAAATTACTATTCCTGAGCCACAATATTATTTTCCTGAACTTTGAAACTACAGTCGATCTTGCTCCAACAGCGACCAGTCCAAGACCTGTACAGAGAGCCACTTCCCAGTCCTGCCCTTGCATATTTATCTATACTATAATTACTTTACTTTTACTTTTATCCGCTGCTTATACCCTTTTGGGTGTCGTGGGAAGAAAGAGACGTCTCTCCGCCACCAGCCAGAGAGCTTGGGTCAGGGGGATGCTGTGGGTGGTTAATGTTTCCCTGACTCCATCTATCCAGGTCTTTCTCGGTCGCCCTCTAGCCTAGTTGCCATATTATAATTACACTTTCCAAAAGGTCCAACTGTCTAAGACAAGCACTTTTCTCCTCCACAATAAGTGGCCATCTTGGACAATTTGACTGTAGTTTCTTTTCTTTTTTTTTTCCCTTCTTAACTCTTTGTACCCCATCGGAAACTGGGAGCGTCCAGTACTAGTGACAACTGTTTCGTTTTATTTAGTGCTAGTTTTTGCTTGTTTTTCGGAACTATTCCCGAATCAAGTTTTTTAGTAATGACTAAGCCTTTGTTTATAAATCATATTTAGAAGTTAGAGGCAAGCTTCTGAGGTTTTAATGAGACATAGTGCACTAGGTTTAGGTGACTGTAGAAAAAATACTCCGCGAAACGGTGGAAAAAACTCAGAGCTTATAGAGTTAACTCATTCAGTGCTAAGGATGAGAATACTCGCGAAACCTGGGCCCCGCCAACATACTAGTGTCAAATATTCTCGTATTCTGCCTCGCCATCTTTACAGAAAAAAATTACTCTATCTAATCCAAACCAAGTTATTTGAACTAAACGTGACGCATATGGGAAAGGTCAAGGAGACATTTTTTCTGCTCGAATAGCCACTGAACCCGCTAGTTTTTATTGATTTTCCTGGGTAGACCTAATTTCATGTTGCTATAAAAAAAAACTGTCCAGTATATGAGGGGAGTTCACAGCTGGAGCACTCAGCATTGAATGAGTTAACATTTGATTAAAGAGAACTTCCCTCCAACAACTATCAGATCGGGTCAAATTCTCAGCTGATTAACGAATGTACACGTGACAGGTCCAAACAAATAAAGTGGAACTCGGATTTAATGAGCTCGGATTCAACAGAACTCGGATTCAACGAGATGAGATAGATATCCCCGTTTTTTTTTCTTCTTTAAAATCAATAAAAATAACCCGGATTCAATGAGCACTTAAATCAGCAAGTTCGGATTCAACGAGGCCATTTCCAGGGTGAACAGCCCACGCAGACGTGGCTTCGCTCATTTTTCTCCCAGAACGAACTTATCTATTCCCGGAAACCATCCATTGCAACTGCATTGTGAACCATTATTCACTTAGTCAATTGCATGCGACCAATCAGCGGCCTTTTTTCATACCAACACATGCGTTGTTGGCTAGCGCACGAGTCTACTCTGGCGTGTGTCGGGGTCGGATGGGCGGCCTGCACACGTGTGACTGTGTGTGTGTGTTGGGGAGGGGGGGGGGCGCACTAGCGGTCCGGGCATTGAACGTCACAGTTACTGATACAAACACGTCACAGTCTTTTTTCCCCCTCGGCAACTGATCAGTATTACAATGATAAGCTAGATCTAGTCCTGACGTAGACCTACGTAATGAATTGTGCGCTGGTCTATGAAATCAAAAGTTGCCGTTATGCTAGGCTCTACACAGCAACACAACTTTTTGGTAAACAATAGAGATGACAAAGGCAGGTGCATTTGAACGAATCGGGTCTTTTTTTTTTTTTACACAGCTCATAATATGCAGGCATTTCAGGCACAACTTGTGACTTCTCTTTATCTGTCCCCGTCGTTTAATGCAAGAAAAATTCTGATATTATGCAAACTGAGCCCAAAAATGTGAAATTATGCGATTCTGTTAATTTTTACAAAGAATGATAAAGGAAAATAATAGAAATTATGCAAAAAATTATCAGATTTTGCTAAATTATGCGGGGTGCATAAAACCAAGGGGACAGCTTTATCATTACTTGCTCAGTGCCTGTTATTATCTACACAAAACCTCGTGTTTGCTATAACGAACACTCGGATTCAACGAGATTTCAGGTCAGGCCCGGCGACCTCGTTGAATCAGAGTTCCACTGTAGTCACTTACAGGTTGACATCATATTTCCTCAGGGCCTTGGTGCTGCGGTCGTAGACCTTGGTGCTGAAAACCACATGGTTTTTCCTCATAGATTTGTTCTTGAGGACATGGAAATTGTAGTCCACCGTCATTTTTCCATTCAAAAGGGAGCCTTTCTTGATGGCCTCACCCGACTGTGTGGTCATGGTACCACGAGCTTTCATTGAGATGATGTCAGATGTCACCTTTCCAGTTCCCTTATATTTATCAGAGCGTGTCTTCTTCTGCTTGGTGACCTTGACTGAACAAAACCAACGACAACAAAAAATGTTTGTTTAGCGACATGTCCTTTGAAAAAGAATAGCCTGTCCTAAAAGCAGATAAGGTATATTAAATGGTTTTCTGTTATTGAATATAAACATACCAGAGTCTGAAACCATGCTGTTGAAATTTTAAAGTTTGTTTTTTAGTAGAGGTTTTATGGCGCTCGCAACTGCATAAGGTAATATGAGCGCCAGAAGATTAGAGGTGTTACAAGAGAGTAACAAACATAAAAAAGGAGGGGAGATAAGGACGATAGATGTTTGATAGGAAAGAAGAAGCAGACCTCACCAAAGCACCCGCTAACCACCCAAAAATTTTAAAGTAGTCGAATGTAGACCTTCAGAGTGAATCAGAGCGGGATCTTAGGGGTGACTTTTGTATAGCAAAAACTATGTTTTCTTAAAACAGTGGGATCTTAAAACCGGGATCGTAAGCGGTGGGATTTTAGGCGGAGACTACTGTAAATGCCCTAAAGACATCACAGACATCACCACTCAGATTCCTCCGACAGGTTGAATTTCAAGAGAGAAAGGAAGCAGCAAGCAATTCCCTGACCATAATCAGCTTGATAGCTTCTACAAGCTAAAGCGATGAGAACTATATTGTACTTTTTAAAAAAGTTTTAGTAGAGGTTTGACGGCGCTCGCAAAAGCATACGGTCATATGAGCGCCAGAAGATTAGAGGTGTTACAAGAGAGTAACAAACATAAAAAAGAAGAAAGGGAGATAAGGACGACAGATGTTTGATAGGAAAGAAGAAGCAAACCACACCAGAGCACCCGCCAACCACCCACACATTGTACTTTTTAAGACTCACAACAGCAGAGCAAATGGATGAATGCATGTATATTTTGTATCTGAAACTAAGTTCTAGCTTTATTAAAGAAGACGTTCCCATGCAACATAAGATCCACGATTACAGAACATCAGCTTAAAGAGATCCCCAACACAAGACAGAACCAAAGCTGCCACATGGCCAAAGCCAGTGCCCCTTAGAAATAAGCTCTATGGCAACTTGGAGTCACTGTGACACGACGCTGTATTTTTGAAGATATTTGATGCTGTCGTACATAGAACGTCGAATTATAAGAACTCCTCTTCGCTAATTAAATCAATGTATCGTTGCCCTTGTTACAAGACTGGCTAGCCTAAGTTGAGCAAATTTCACAAGAGAAGCAAACAACACATTTTGTTTCATTATGCAGCAGTCTGATGGCTTGCAGGTTGTTCCACTTTATCATTTATATTTTAATAATAATAATAGATAGCCTTTGTATAACGAAAATCCCTGCTCAACAGCAAACTGTATGCGCTTCACAATCTATACTATTACCCCAGCAGACCTGATAACATTCTGAAACAATCTCAACTTTCAGGGAAGCATACAATGCAAGCAGCCATTTATAGGCGCTAAAACACTAACATACTGACAAGATCTTTCGCGGTCTATGGCTGGGTACCCATTCCCACCTGGGTGAAGTGAGGAAAATTCGTGTAAAGTGCCTTTCCCCAAGGACACAACGTTGGGCCAGCGGCTCGAACCCCCGAACCCGCAACCTCACGATTACGAGTCCGGTACCCTAACCACTAAGCTATTGACGCCACATTTTAGGAGCATTCAGACCAGTTTTTGTATATGAAATGAATAATTTACTATCGATTTTGTCAAGTACAGATTTTTAAAATGATTTAAGGGATCGCTGGTCTAATCACAAGGTCGACAATATCCAGATTTCAGTTTCTGTACAAATTTTTCCAAAAACTGAATAAACTTGCTGACAAACCACTGAACACAACAACAAGGACAAAAACAATGGCTCCAGCATTGACTTGTCAACATATTATGTCCAAAACAGCATTAACATGTTTTAATTCCATCGCAATAGTTGGAAACTTACATTCAAGGACAGCTGGCTTCTTCAGAATATTGTCCATGGTAACTTGCAGATTTCCCTTTGTTATCTTATCCTTTTTATGGTCCACAGAGCCGGAGAGCAAGAACAGACGAGCCTCCGGAGAGGAGAACAATATTGTGGGTTGCAGTTTCAAAGATTTCGCCTGTTTCCCGCCTACATTCAGAAGCTGGAGTGTTCCGGAATATGTGTCTTTCACTCCCAGTTTTACACTTCCAAACAGGGTTTTCTGTTTCTCTTTGTTGATGTAGTTTCCTGTAGGAAAAATAAAAACAAAAAAACACCTCAAGCACGTTCCACAATAGGGTCAGAACACTATGAGGTTATCGTATTGCAAACTACAGAGTTGTCCATTTGCCTCTGGATGAAGTTTCTTGGTTTCAAGGCTGGCAAAACAACCAAAGGACTCAAAAGAACAATAAAGTAACTTTTTTTTATCTTTAACGTCACATTTCCAATTACAGTAACAGAGAGGAAAAAAAGAGCAGTCAGAACAGTTTTATAAACCGTAGGGTTGCTTTTACCTCACAGACGGAGTCTTCAATAGGAAATGTGAAAAAAAATATATGTAAAACTTCAGTGCATTCATATTCAGTTCTGTCTTTTCCAAGGTCTCTATTTCAGAGGTGCGAGAACAATTTTAATATCGTGCTTTAGTATACAATAAACGAAAAACACTGCAAGGTTACCGATTTGAACAAAAATACAAATGTGTCATCACAGTGAAATTAGAGCTCTCATCAAAATAATGAATCAAAGAAACCCGCATTTTCAGAATTGTTGGGCAATTTTTATCTATTTTTTTCTCTTTTTACATTTTACGTTCATTTAAAAACACATTTCTGTGTGGATTCCCAAAAATGTTCATCAAAGGCACAAAAAGTGAAAATTTACAGTTTCCAAGGACACTCAAGCTTTGGAAGTCAGTAAACAGGAAATTGGCGCTCATATGACCTTATGCAGTTGCGAGCACTGCAAAACCCTCTATAAGAAAAAAAAGAAAAAAAAAGAAAAAGAAAATTGATGAGCACCAGATTCTACCACGAAATGACACAAATGTTCACACAAAACACAAAAATCAGGGGCTTCACAAGTTGATCACGCTTATGAAAGCAGCAGTACATAACTCTTTAACCATGTCTGGACAGTGGCAGCGTCCGGTAGTCGAGGTCCGTAACCATGGCTGGACGGTACCACCGTCCGTCGTGAAGTTATTATTACATTATGGTACGGGCCGAATACAAAAAAGTACGAGCTAACAAGCCTTTAGTTTGACCCGGAAATCAAAGATAAATCAATTTTACATCTGGGTAATGCTTTATTGATCAGTTTGACACGAAAAAAGCGGTTTTAAAAATGTAATATGTCGGGTCGCATTTCCACAAACATGAGAGAATTACGTGGAAATGTGATTTTAAATTGCACGGCTAAAGAGTTAAATTACAACTTTCTCTCTGAATAAGTATGTTTGAAGATAAGCACCACTAATGTGAACCTACCTTTCAATTGAATGGGGTCGGGTTTCAGACCAGAATTGATAGTGATATCAGCAGACACGTCCTGGTATTTCTTGTCCACCTCTACAGAGCCGGTCACTTTAAACTGGACAGGGACCTTAGCCAGTATCTTGGAGTCTTGAGGCCTACTCAGCTTGAAAGTTGGTGTCCATTTGACCTGCATTAGTTTGTTTGTATTAGTAAGAGTTTTATGGCACTTGCAACACAATACGGTCATATAAGTGCCGAAGATTAGAGGCGTTACAAGAGAGTAACACACTCTAAAAAAGAAGGAGGGGAGATAGAGACGATAGATTTTTTATAGGAAAGAAGGAGCAAACCACACCAGGGTACCCGCCAACCACCCACCTGCATTATTTTGAGACAATGGTTTTATCTGAAACAAACCCACTCACACCTGGAGGTTTACACCTATCGCAAATTTTAATTTCATAATAATTTTATTTTCAGGAGAGTACTTTAATTATCCTGACAATTTGTTTCAAAAACAAGCACAGATACTCTGCAAAGACGTATTTGAAACACTCAAGAAAAATTTTTTCAAGAAAGATTTCAACACCCAATTTGTATAGAATGAATGACTATATTTATCCAGAGATGACAAAGCATTCTCCTCAAGGTATTTAATCTTCAAACTTCACTCCAAGCTTGAAAAATTGCAGTTGACACATTCAGGGCCATTAGTAGAAATTATTAAAGCTCTAAGAAGAGAAAAAAACAAGAAGTGATAAACTACCATGACTTCTTTCTTCTACAAATACTTTCCAACTTTACTGTTACAGTACCAGGCTTGCAGCGTGGTGGAATCAGGCTCTCGTCAATTTTTCGGCATGTAGAGTTATTGGTATCATCTTAAAGCTTGTTCATTTGTCTTTATTTGGTGAAAAAAATATCCATTTATCTTGAATACTAGTCGAGATATTTGAGAATGAAGGAGATGGGGGTCACCTGTTTTCAGAGGTAAAATTAGTGAGAAAATGGCCGCCAAAGATTAGTTATTTCCTTGGCTTAAGAGTCCGTGGTAGCTGAAAATTTACATTTTTTGTGCCTTTAATCAACGCTTTTCAGAAAAAGCCATACAGAAATGAGTTCTTTAAAGGGCATGAAAGGTGTTGAGCCTTAAAACAAGAATTTGAAAAAAATTCACAAACCTGTGGAAAAATGCAAGTTTGTTTACTTTGATTATTTTGACGAGAGCCTGATTCCACCACGCTGCCTCACATATCCAACAGTAAAAGAACAATCTTGGGCAAAGCGATGAGGTGTTCGTTTCAATCTAAAAAAGCCGCCCCGGGGCAGTGCCACTGACTGTAGTGTCTTTAGGCCATTCCCAAAGGGGGGACATTTCTCGTTCAAGCACAGTAGAATTGTAAATGGGCTGATTCATGTCACGCTCATAACTGTGCCTGATCTACAACAGAGAACTGCTGTTTTTTCTTTCCTAATCCTTACTATTGTCATTTTTCCTCCACTTCTTTTGTATGTTTGTCACTCTCTTGTGACCTGCTATTTCCGGGGTGCTTTGATAGTCGAAGCAGACCTGCTTGTGCTGTTCAAGCTAGAGAGGTGAGCAGAATAAGTCTGATTCCCTGTAAAGACTTCTCTGTTGACACCCACCCCTTGGCGCTCATATGACCTTATGCAGTTGTGAGTGCCGTAAAACCCTCTACTATAAAAAAAAAAATCTAAAAAAAGAGGGAAGATGCTTTACCTTTGACCCTTTTGCATCCTTGTCTAACTGCGTGAGCAGTTCATATTCGCGTCCATCAACCACCACAGAGGCTGAAAGAAGGCGTGTGTCATCTCCGACTGTGTATGCTCCTATTTCACACAAAAATATACCTTTAAAATGGGATCAACTTCAAAGGACCAAAGCCAGAAATGAACTATAATTATATAGGCCTAAAAGGTAGGTGAACTTAATTTTGTGGAACATTCATATTTCTGAACAAAAATGTTTTAAGCCTTTGAACACTTTCCTCCTTGCATATATCCATCCTGACACGTCTTCTCATTAAAAAAAACAACCCAGTTAACTAGATGTAGACATTGACTAGTAACTACGGGTTCAAAGGTTTACACTAGGCAAAGAAATTATTTCACAGTCATTGTGCCAGCATTAAAAAACTGACAGACTTAACTCATTCGCTACGCCGAGCCGTTGGGGGCGGCACGGCTAAAGTGCCATCAGTACGCTAAGCCGCCCCCGGCAGCTCGAGAACCGATCTTCAATTTTAGCTTAGATTCTCTTCCAATCCACATATCCATGTTAAAATAAAGGTCAAAATATAAGGTTGACTTCCGGGTCAAGCATTTCCACTGAACATCAGAAATTTAAATTCAGTTTTGAAACGCGATTTCGTAGTTTATTCGACTTTGTTTTATCGCGATGCCAAAATCATAGCCCGGACACCAGTCTTAGTAATTTTATACAACAAAATCTATCATTATTTTGCCCACTAAAGAAATGTTGGACTCTTTTTTATAATATTGATACGATTGGACTCATATTGCCAATGCACTGTTATTGAGAAATCAATATTTTTTAGTGCTAGATCTAGGTCTAGATTTACATTGTCAAAATATTTTTTCCTCACCAAAATCACTACTTCTTGATGAAATTACACAAAAAGTGCCACTCAAGACATGTATAGGCTTATTCCAAATGCAATTCTGAATAATTCCATATAAGATACGAGTGGGTTTTTTTCTATTTGTGGGTTTTTTTTTCGTTTTTCAAGATTATAAATTTTTTTAAAAATTTTTTCAATATCGGATGTTTTGATCCAAATGTACAAATATTATGGAATGTATGTAAATAACAGCAAACTTTTCAATATTTTCCAGTTCTATATTCATTTATGGTTATATTGATGCATCATTTGACTAGGTGCGAACATATCTTTTGAGTTTCACAAAAGATTATTAATTTTTTATTTCAAATTTTATCTGCATCCAATCAAAATCGCGTTGCATAATCGCCTCTTACAGGAACCAAAGTTGAAAAATACATAAATAAACATTACAGATGTATTCTACAAACCATACTGAAAATATTGGTATATAATACGTTGGTATTTATTTGAATTTGTGACCCCAAAGACCTTTTAACTGCCCACTAGTCATCATCTCATTTTGCCCTCCCGAAAAAAATTCGTCTACAAGCCGAAAATAATGAGTAGCGAATGAGTTAAAACAACCCTTTTCTAAAAAAAATGTAGTTCAAAAGAAAGGGGAACCTAGCTTTCACTTTCATATCTATCCCTCAAAAAACTGAGGCAGAAGACTAAAAAGCGATGAAAACTCTTTTACCAACTGCAGTTCGAAGTTCACGTACGACACAAACGGGATTCAAACCAGGGAGATACAAAAATGTTATTTTCCAAAATGATAACAACTAATTAGCTATTTGCTTGTTCCCAAAATATCAACCTTTGCAATATATACAGTCAAACTTGCTATAACAGCAAGGCTGACCTAAACAATCACCCGTACAACCACTTTCTCTTCAACAATGATTGAGTTGCCATCTTGGACAATTTCAACCATAAATAAATAAGTAAGGAAGACAAACTACGGTGATGACATTGTCATGCATATAATTAATGTATGGCTGTGATAATTCTTTATGTGGTTGAACGGGTTTTTCTTGTAACTGTGAAATATTTTATCTTGAGAGAATGAATTATTACTTTTCGGTGATCATGTGATTGATGCAAAGCACTCAGAGCTTATACACCTCTATGGGATAAGAGTGCTATATAAATGCAAGCTATTATTATTATTATTTTTCTCATCATCATAATATTCTAATAAGACACAGGAAAACAACTTGATAAATGAAACGCAGTACTCTCAAATAGGCATCTGTTTAACCCTATCTGTACGTCGTGTTTTACTATCGCATCCATACGACATTGGGAACTCTGTGCCACCAGTTTCAAAGAGGAAATTTAGTCGTTGAACTGATCCGTACGCTTTGCATAGCAGTTTGTCAAAATGATTTTTTGAGAAGTACTGAAAGTTTCAAACAGATCTTTGAACTAGAAGTATTCTAAAATGTGAAGAATATAACCCCAGGGGTACAAAATGACCCCTAGGCGTACAGATAGGGTTAAAAATCAATTACGCATAAGGTGGTTTTGATGTCCTTGTTACCTTTAACCAACATTTTCTTCCACGGGGTGGCAAGTTCTGCTTCCAGCGACTTGGCACGCTGGTCGAGAAAGTAGTCAACAGTAAGTTTTCTGTCCTGATTCGACCTCGGGGTGTCTACTAACAAGTGGAACTCAGAGGTGTCGGTATTCTGCAAAAATATCAGACGATAATTTTTTTTAAAACACCATAGAGTTGCATTAACATATGTTGTAAGAAGATCAAAGGTGCAAATATCACAACTTTTACAGTATTTATACAAAACAGACAAGATACCCCACTCAGCAGCAGGTGTGTTCTTCTATTAGTGAAATGACACACATAAACAAACATCTTCACTCTAAAGTACACACATTATACTTACTTTGAAGTAGAGTGTTTGCTCTTACTTTTACTCCTATTTTGCTCTTCCCAGTGGGGCTAAATGTCAAAATGAAATATTAGTGACCGCTAAGGCATTTATCTAATACAGAAACAAAAGTGGGTGGTTAGCTGGCACTCTGGTGTGGTTTGTTTCTTCTGTCTTATCAAACATCTGTCATTATTACCTCTCCCTTTTTTCTTTGTATGTTACTCTCTAAAATGCCTCTAACTTTCTGCACTTACATGATCTAATTGTGTTGCAAGTGCCATAAAACTCTTACTAAAACAAAAAAAACAAAAATATCACCTGAACTTGTTTTGCCACAAGCTTAAACCCACTCGGCGCATCTTTCTTGTCCAAGGTCAGGCTCAACTTCACGGGCCCAGTAAGGGGGAAATAGGGACTGGTCTCTGGCGTGGCCGGCCTCATGAAAGAAAACTCTCCGCACACCTCGTAGCCGGTGACCTTCAGCAGCATGTCGGGAGAGCATGTACGCTTACTCACGAGGCTGTTCTGTTTCATCTCAACACTCTTTTCTGCTTCAGTGTGAAGGATGAAGAATTCCGACCTGAAACAAAAACGTATGGCACCTCACCAGCTTGCCAGTCTAAAGCGTACAGCAAAAGAATATCAGGGTTCATGGCAAGAAGAAGACAAAGGAAGACCTGGATCGAGGGTGTGAAGGACACATCCCAACCAGCCAGCCATCCAGCTTGCCAGAGACCGAAAGCTCTTTCTCCTCTCAACGCCCAAGATGGTATAAGAGGAAGGATAAAGTAAATAAGTAAATGAACAAAAATGCTTTGTGTTGTTTGTTTTTTTTGCATGTGTGTTTAAAGTTCTGCTGAACACAAATAAGTTATTTCAAAGGCAGAGCACTTGGTTCAAATGTGAGGCCACAGAAGACAAATGAAAAGAAGGTAGAGCCAATACATGAAAATAAATACACTGATACAACTAAACACAGATCACTTCCATATATCGGTAATTATTTTTTACAGAAAGTATACAATGGCAGCAACTTTGATCTTATATAATGGTACAGAACAAAGAACTTTTGATTTTACATTGATCATAAGCTAAATCTATACTATAGTAAGAAACTGCTTTGTCCGTTTCTCCAATTCTAGCTCCCTGCCTTTTTCTATTTCTCCTTACTCTCATTCATTCCTCATAAGTATAAGCTAAATATTGGACGAATCACCCTATTCATATAAGCAAACAAAAACTCAAAAAGAAATCACAAACACATACATCCACTGACAAACCACTATGGGTGCACGAGCAAACATCTAGAATACACGCCCACACGCATGCATGCACACACTCACACACACCATGCTTTAAGGATAAAGCAGAATTATTCACTTATATAAGGAAAAACAAAAACTCCAATGTGAGGCATGCTGACAAAATGAGTTACTTCTCGCAATCTACAAATGGAGATATTGGCCCAAATTCGACACTAGGGTCAAATTTTTTGGTTTTGCATTAATTGATGCCACATTCTTTAAGTATATCATGACTTTCATTATTTCATACTTCCATAAATTGTAAAAACTTAACCTATAAGCGTGATGTATCTATTTCCATGGAGATCAAATCCGAGAAGTAACTCATTTTGTCAGTACGCTTCACAAATACTTCAAAGTAGTCCTTACTTGACATCAAGAAGCTCCATTTTCTCCACAGGAGTGTCAAAGTCTACCGAGACCACCTGACCATTGGTCAAATCCAAGCTACCTGTGGTGGCACTGGTAGTGTGCAGGGTAGTGGTCATTCGCAGTCCTGACCGGGCCGCTCCCGCTTCCACACTCATCAAACCGGACAGCTGAACAGCAGCACTGAATAGATTGACGTATATATATAAAATATATAGTTAACAATTGTTCACACCAATAACACTTACAAACATTTTTCTTTTCAGGGTCTTTGGAACAGGGTTGGGTTGATTTAAATCAGGTCGATTTAAATCGGTTGATTTTTTAAATTTAAATCAACTTGATTTTTTCAATAAAAATCAGTGGACTTAAATCACTTTTTTAAAATTTATTTTTATTCAGTTTTTAACATATTTCAACATTCAGAATTCCTTTCCTTGGTTTCATAAAAGAGATATAAGGTTTAGTAGACTAGATCTAATATAATCATGCTTAAAAGTCTGCTTTCCCCCCTTTCACTGTAAAATAATACAGTATTCGATTTACTTTTTTTTCCATAATTGAAATCAGAGCTGGGTTGATTTAAATCAGTTGATTTTTTTATTTTAATCAACTTGATTTTAAAAATAAAACTCAGTGATTTAAACCACTTTTTAAAAAAATGTATTCTGTTTTTACATCTTTAAACATTCAAAATTCCTTTCCTTGGCTTTTTAAAACAGATGTTAGGTTTAGTAGACTAATATAAACATGCTTAAAAGTCTGCTTTCCCCCTGTCACTGTAAAATAATACAGTATTCAATTTACTTTTTTTTCAGAATTGAAATTAGCATTTTCTTTTTCTTTTTAGACAAGCACAAGCGCGCGCACGCACACACACACACACACACACACACACACACACACACACACTGTAATAAAATGCAAGTTTATCTATGCATAATTCCCCCCCCCCCCCCCCCTCTTCCTTTTAGACTGTCATTTTTCTTCATTTTTTGTCTGTAGCTATAATTCACTGATATAGCAGATTTAAGGCTTTCTTTTGCAGTTGCTTAAATTAATCATTAGTTAAAATAAAGACAATGCATTTTGCACTAAAAGAACAATCTTTTAGCCACCAAAAATCCCAAACTGTGTCAACATTTTTTTTTTTTAATTAAAAAAATATAAAAAATCTGATTCAAATTTTAACAAATCCGATTTAAATTTTTTGAATCGATTTTTAACAATTTTATTTAAAAAATCAAAAAAATCACCAACCCTGCTTTAGAAGTCTCACACTCTGCTGGACCAAAAAAAGGTTCATTTTTCGAGGCAGAAAACTCAGGACAGTTGTTTGCTTGTTTGTTCATTTGAGTAAAGAGAACTACATTGACATAACAATGTTCATTTAGCGCTGAGAAAAAAGTAAGATCAACAGACAGAAACAACAGGGGGGAAAACAAAGAAGTAGGATCTACCAATGGCGCCCTCCAACCACCCACTCAGGGTAGTTGTTAGGGTAAAGACAGTGAACAACTTCAAAAACAAAAGCACATCACAGCATGCCAAATCACAATCATTTGATGACAGGTCCAGCTTGGTCAAGCAGTTGGAACTTTTGAGGAAGGCCACTTTCAGATTAAGACTCTTTTTGATGGCAGGCTTGCATGTGTGTTATTTGCTTGATTTTGAGTGATTGAGCATTAACTAAATTTTACTGGTTTTGTACAAACAGATCTATTACTACTTGGTGTAGGCTACATATATATATATAAACTTCTTACATCTTTAAATGTATGAAACTGTCAACATTTTCTCTATTGAAAATGCCTCTTAAGTATGTGAAAATACTTGTAGCAAATAATAGGTTTCTTATCAGGAAAAAACATCTTTTTCATTTTTCTACTATTCTACATCTAACTGCAAATAAAGACAATGAACAAGATGAAAATAAAATCTTGCGAACTTTTTCTTCGAAACGAAGGAAAACAATCTTACCTTGGCCTGAAATTGAAATTGGCAGCCATGTTTTTGCGGGAGATCTTTCTCATGTCAATCTTTCCATTGGCAACAAGTTCAACAGTCGCAGTGCCATTCACACTGAGACGCAGAGCCATACCTGATCAAATATTCAGTAAAAATGAGCAATTTGGTCCTAATGAGACAGAAGACACTCTGGTATTCAACACTAAAAAGCAGTTGACTGGACCATAAATACATTTTTTCCGATTTGCATTCTTAAATACTGTTGTGCACATAGAGAAAAACAAAAATCATCTATCAAGATTGTTAGCTTTACTTTATAGCGGTAACCAAGGCAGCCTTAATCTGCAAAAAAGTAATGCTATTTCATAAAGATTTAATTTAACAAAACACGTATGTCATTTGATCATGTAAAAAGGAAAGAAAAGCTGACAGAAAAGTGAACAGGATGTCTTATATCATTAAATTTGTCAGAAGATCTCAATTTCCAAATATTGAAGCCAGAAACACGCATTAAACAGTGCTCTAAAACGGAAAGACACCAGTGTGGTTCTTGGGGCCCAGTCCAAGAGACAGGGGGGCAAAGAATAGGACCACTGTATCCATACCGCACATGTCGTAGAAGGCGACTAAGGTCGGTTGGGCAAAGGGTCAGCAGCTACAAAAACATCAACAGCAAAAACAAAACGACCGCCAGTTCTGGAAGATGGAGGATGACATGGAGGCAAGCCGTACAAGCGGAAATTGAAAAAGCAGGGATATCACGGATAGAAAAGGATGCAAAGGACAGGCTTCGCTGGAGTAATTCTGTTGATGGCCTGTGCTCCACTGGGAGTTAAAAAGGGCAAGAGAGAGAAAACGGAAAGGAGAGTACTTCACCTGCAATAGTTGGCACAGCAACGCTGGAGTCCATGAACATGGCACTCTTGGTGAACGAGATATCGTCTCCCTTTGCCAAAGTTTTCATGATCGTCTTGAGGTTGAACTTGTCCTTGATGTTCATCAGTTCTTCTCCACTCAGATGCTCAAAGCCCAGCTCATTACCAAACATCCTCACGTAGAAAGAGGCCTCCAAATCATCTTTTGACACCGCAAACTGGTGGAGAAGAAACGTTACATGAAGAGATATAGAGTTGTAAAATGTACACCGGCTGAGAATATCATGAAGGACCATGTAGAATCACAGAGATGGATTATATAATGTAATGAAGAAACAGTTAGAACCATACAGATGGAGTATATATATATATATCATGAAGAGACATATAGAACCATACAGATGGACTATATATATCATGAAGAAACATGTAGAACCACACAGATGGAGTATATATGCTACATGAAGAGAGACACATAAATTGCAAAGTGTCCTATCATGTGAATAATCTGCTACCTAGATTCTCTCATCAAAAGATGAGTGAAGTTGCCAAAATAATTCTCTTATAATAGAAAAGAATCCCCCCCCCCCCTAAAAATAATAATAATAAATAGCATTTGTATAGCGCATGTACCCACTCAAAAGCAAGCTCTACGCGCTTTACACTACTTTACAGTACTTTTAAAAAAGCTCTCTCAAATTCTGTTAAAAGCTAGAGCAAAGACAGTGAATTTGACAGCTGGGTTGTTTTCTTTCTGTCTCCCCCCAAAAAATAAGTCGGTTTGGATCAATCCTTTTTCAACCCATACCACCGTTATATTTTACCTTATCCTTCATTTTGTCCATCTTCTGTTGACGGACGCAGCTTGAGGAGGGGCCACTCTTCCCTTTGTTCTCTTCGCCGCTGAAAAAGCTGCCCATGTACTTCTGTAGCAACAGCTCCAGGCCTTGTACACGACCTCCCACTTCCAACACGTTGACCGACTGACCCAGCATGTCCACTGTTAGGTTCAGCATGGCAGATCTGGCCAATTGGAAGGAAAGAATATAATATATATATATATATATATATATATATATATATCTGTCTCCCCCGGTCAATATCAGTCGTAAGACGCAGTATGCTATTATCAGCTACGAGGCTCGAAAGGCAAAAAAGTGACTTTCCATGGAATTTTTGTTTTATGGATCAATTGAAAGTTTGATGCCTTCTGCTTCATTTAAGATAAAAATAAACGACTACAATCGGCTATAAATTTCAAGTTTCTATCTCAATTCTAAGACCTCCATTGCTATGGAAACATGTTGCTCAACTTCAGAGGCCATTTTTTCCTTTTCGCGTTTCCTCACCTCGCACAATTAAAAGTTCTGTATTTTCGTCAAATATGGTCCTATTTACTTCATTTTTGTTTTAAATTGTAGGGAAAAGGTGATAGTTTTTGCAAATATTGTTAACTCAGTTTGGATCTTTCCTTCATATGACTGATATTGACCGGCAGGGACACATATCACTGCATCCATGTCCAGGCCATCAATACAGATTCAGATTCCAGTAAACCTAGTAAACTGTTTCCCTGGGGATGGGTATTCCTATTTCTACGCCACTTATTTCTAGATTCTCACGGTGTGTTTACAAAAAACAGCCATAACTGAAAAATAATTATCAAGATGGATGACTGACCTATCAAACTATTGCAAATTGAAAATGTGCGTAGAGAGGATTATAATTATGAGATGAGAAATGGAACAAGTGATTGGTAAGAACACAAAGTGAAGTGGAAGTGCAGAGGTAAGAGGGTCTTCCAGTTAAGCACTTGAAGTGGCGACCCAGAGGGAAAAGTTTAAAATAGGTCTTGTTACATCTGTTTACTCATTGTGTTTTACTTTTTCTTTCAGTGATTGTAAGCACTTAAGACAACAATGGCAAAAGTTATACTTTATTTACATAAAAGTATGTACTTCTTCGCCTCAAAACTATTTTGTCCACAGGTTGTTTTTTTTTATAGTGGAGGGTTTTACGGCGCTCGCAACTGCATAAGGTCATATGAGCGCCAAGTTTGTCCAGAGTGCACTCTTTCTTTAGAATACTTTAGACAAAATAGTCCTAAAGCGACAAGTTGTTACTTTATCTCAATTTATCATCTCAAAGGAACAGTTCCATTGTATTTTTAACAACTTACTTCTTTTTCACAAAATCACATCTGCATTTCTCTACTGAGATAATTTTTCATAAAATGATAAGATCAGATAAGTGATAAAAAGAAAAGGTAGCAAACCTGGGAATGAAAGAAGATGAAGAAAACACAACATTGCTCTCAGCCATGGCTCCTGCTCCGTATCTCTCCGAGAAAAACGACAGTTCGTAGTTTCGAGAGTATTTCCTCTTGTCCATGTTGAATTCTTTCTTCAGTTTCTCATCCTCCAGGATTTCTCGTATTCCCTGTTTCTGTGGGCTTGACGTGCGGAGCAGATTGGTCAGGTGAGTCCAGACAAACGAGCCCACCTGATTGACAGACTCTTTCTCCAGTGCTTTTCTCACCTGAGGAAGAAAAGGTATCATGTTTGCACTTCATCCTACACAAAGAGGACTGAACACAACGTCTTAGCTCATCCACATTTTCTGCCATATCTACATCATTTTGCCCAAATCCGCCTCCAGGCAAGTAAATTTCGAAAGAATGACTCCAAAACAAAATTACACGTTTAAAAAGAAATATATTTTGCAATTTTCATTAAATTCACAAATTGCAAACGGAGCTACTGAATCAAGTAACATAAAAATCCTGTTACATTATAGGCTACCCAGTGCCCACTGGGAATTACAAAACAGTCGTCCGATTCGCAGCCTGAAAACAAAAAACGCTTTTATTTTTTAGGCTGCGAGTCGGACGATCGGTTAGTACGTTTCACGAAGGTCACTTTGAGCCCTCAATCTGGCTAGCCCCGCCTACCAAACCAAACCGAACCGATCATGCCAATGGCACCCCTATTAGATTTAACAGTGTAACTATTAAAACCTCATGACAACCACACTGACCTCACTCAGGATAACTTCCGTTGGACACTGCATCAGAGACAAGTAGGCAGCAATCCTCAGCTCAGAGTCTTCTCCTTTATTCATGAAAGTGTCCATGAGTGCCTTTCGCTGAAAATGGCCCACACAAAAATATTATTAAAATTTAAAGACATACTAATTTCCAACTGTCCCTAAATGTAAGACCAAAAATAAATTGAACAAACTATATCAAATTATTCATTTATGAAAACGAATTGCATCATCAACACAAAGAAGTACAAAAACTGCTGCAACATTTCTATCCCTTTCTCGGAAAATCAAGGATAGCATTATGACTTCACAGGAATTCTAATAAGTCAATCATGCTTTTTTAACCAACTTTTAGCACACAATTATTTTTTAGAAGGAAAAACAAACACAAAAGGTATTGTTAAATTACCAAACCAATTTATCTTAAAGTATCGTACTTTTAAAAATATGATAATTTGAAGCCTCAGCTTTCTTGAACCTTCTTTGAATAATCATCCTTTTGAGCAGAGACCATTCATCATCTTCAAATAAAGAAGGAGCAATCTGAGGCATGAAATATCGATGAAGCAGCCCTTTCCATACAAGTCTATAGAAATAACAATCGAGATAGTCACAATACTAAGTTGGAGGCTCAGGTTGGGGCAACCCTGAACTGTAGATCTGGAAATCGCAGTTTGAAGGCCCAAAATAGCATTCTCAAACCGGGGTTCTTTAATGGTTCTCATACAATTCTATCTATAGGCTACCCACTTGCTGCAGCTTTTTTGGAGACGTGGCTTGAATCCCAAGCCTTTCTATAAGGAAAGCCGAATTAAACAAATAAATTACCATATCTGATGTTAGTACCATATTTATAATATAAACCATAAACGGATAGGGTTAACGTTCTTGCCATTTACCTTTCATCGGAGGCAACAATTTAGGCACTATTTAAAATTAACTGAATTCCTATTTCTATATCGAGTGCGTAGCATAAGAGTCCCCCAAACGCCACCTTGAAAAGTGACGTGCGGAGCAGTCTTGCACAGAGAAGTTGGTATGTAGATATTGAGGCCGTATGTGTCACGACACGGTGGAATCAGGCTCTCGTCAATTTTTGGACAAGTGGAGTTATTGGTACCATCTGAAAGCTTATTCATTTGCTTCACTTTTAGTGGGAAAAATACCCATCTATCTTGAATAGAAGTCAAGATATGTGCGATTGAAGGAGGTGGGGTTGCCTGGTTTCAGAAGTGAAATTAGCGAGACAATGGCCGCAAAAGTTTGGCGACTTCCATAGTCCTTTGAAACTGCAAATGTACATTTTTGTTGTGCCTTTAATCAACGTTAACATAAAAGTGTTTTTGAATGGACATACAGAGTGATCCAAAAAACAAAAATTCTTTTAAAATTTTCAAACTGTCAGAAATATGCCAATTTCTCGGATTCCATTATTTTGCCGAGTGCCTGATTTCACCACAATGCCTCACACACATATATATATATATACTCACATCCGTCACATCACAGGACACGCCCCTAAAAGCCTCGGCAGCAAACACCCGTTTCGCCATGGAGTTCTCACTGGCTTCCATACAGCTGCTCAGGACTGGAGCCAGCTCATGAGACTGCCCCATGTTCCTTGCAGCTCGGAGGGCCAAAAGAACCTTGACAAGACAATCATACATGTTATCTACAATACGCAAAAACAGCCTGAAATGAAATTAACTCTTTCCGGACGTATCGCCGATATATCGGCGCAAGTCCACACCCCTTGTGGACGTATAGCCGATATATCAGTTGTGATAGGGTGCCTCAGTATTGTTTCATTTTAACATGATCCGTCATTTATAATTACTTAGTATTGCTATTGAAAAACTCGGAAAGGATTTAGGAAACGAAAACATCAAGTTTCACTCAGCCAAAGCGTGGGTTTGGGGAAAAGCGAGTGAATTAGTTCTTGCGATCTTGAATCAACAAAAGGATGTAACCGGACTCAGTATAAATTTCATAACTCAAACAAAAATTGGAATATTGCTTTCAAATAAAAGAGCTGCACTTTCAGAAATTTATGGATTATGCTCTTGGCCTGTATATGATAAGATAGCTATGCTGATTTGCTTTCACATGTTTAGTGAATGTAATTTTTTCCATCAAAATGTATTTTTCTAATCACCATCGCCATTTCTAACCCTTCTAATGCATAGTTATGTTCAAAATTAATCCTTGTTTCATATTGGGATGTATTCCTCATTCAATTTCCTTCAATTTGATATATCATATGTTACGTTTTAAGTGATGGTTATGCTTCTATAAAGTTATTTTGTACACCACCTGTGTAGCCAAATCGAGCCACAAGTTAATTATGTCTTGACCCCCCAAAAAAGTACGTCCGGAAAGAGTTAAAACTAACTTTGAATTCATCAGCTTGCAGTAGATGTCAAGTTCACAGAAACAAGAAATATATGAAACTGTGGAAGAGCAAAAGTTACAGAAAAATTTCAGTGACACCAAAAAAGACACAAAAAGGAGGTCAGAATATATAGAAAACTAATTACAAATACACATTACTGATAAAAACATTTCCTATCTTTCTTCCCTGTTTCAACATTTCCAGTTTCTTTAGCCTAGCAAAAAAAACTTTTTGTTTCCCAGTTGAACAGCTGCGATTGTTCCACTACTTGAGATATTAGCTAACACGACAAAATAATCAGACTATCAATCTGACTGGGTGCAATGGTTTATGCTTTCTTGTTTCACAAATCAGAGTACTTACAAATGAAAGAAGGTATAGGTTTAACGCCCCTATCGACATTATTAGATTATTTAAGAGGCCGGACCTCCAAGTCATTCATCTCCAAAAGGACCGAGCCAAATGAGAAAGTCGTGTAAAGTGCCTTTTCCTAGGACCGAGCTGACACTCGAACCCCTAAACCCGTAATCTCACGATTACGAGTCCGGTAGCCTAACCACTACGCCACCGACACCTTCTTCTTCTTCTTCTTCTATTCCGTGGTTGGGGCAATCATAGGGGCACCACTGCATCTGAAAACCAGCTCTCGCTATCTATTTTTGTCCTCTGCTTTCCTCAGATTGTCACCCATCGTCTTTCCTGTCCACTCTGTAATGTTGTCCTCCCATCTCCTTCTCTGCCTTCCTCTCTTTCTCTTTCCTTGTACAGTTCCTTGCAGGATTGTTTTGGCAAGTCCTGTGGATCCTGTGACATGCCCATACCATTTTAATTTTCGTCTCTTCACTGTGGTCAGTAGATCTCCACCGACACCACTGAGCACTTAAAAGCCTTCAGAAGAAACACAACATACAAAAATAAAACATATTGCTTGCATTACCAGATCTTCATCCGGAGAGTCACATCTCTTGCCCAAAATGTCAGCCAGCACATTGACAACATCACGCACATCCCCGTTGGAGATGCAGCTGTGAGAGCGACAGTAGCTGTTGATGAGGGAGGTCACCGGCAGGAGAGAGCTCTTGCGCAGGGAATCTGACTTCAAGAGTCTCTGCGAGGAGAGAAAATAAAGCACCACAATGGTTATGGATTTTGACAAAGTGCAAGAGGGGGCCACTGCTTGTGTGAGTGGCAGTGACGAATGTGGATGACACATGATAAGATTTCTCGACTGTTACTGTGATTGAATGACAAGCATTATGAATACCAGTGCGTGTGTGTTTGTGTACGTTGGTATTTGTGTTAAGTATTTCCTTGCTATGACATGTTTAATCCATGTTTATGCCTTTTGCTTTTGGCTAGATAAATAGATTGTCTGACCAACAGAAATGAAAATTAAATTCTTTAATCTCTCAAAAAAGCAGAACATAAATTACCTACATAAAACCAGACGTCAGAATATTACCTAACAAATTCAAATGCACAAAAGCTCAAGATAAGAGACAAATTACATGAGATGGCCAGCATATATACATCCTATCTATGTCCCTTCCAACTTTTGAGAGCTCAAGTGCATAGAAATACTCCCGCTCTATTGCTACTAGCACAAAGCTAAACTCAAAAACACATCTTCATTGCAACAATCAACACTGAGCTGATTAAATTGATTCTACATGTGTACAAGTTTTTTTTTCCTAAGTTTCCGCATATAATCATACAAAAAAGGTCAAATACTTTATGTCAGTTACAGCAGAATGATCTTATCTATCAATATATTTTCTTCTATTCTCTTTCTTTGAGCCTCAAACAGTGCTCTGGTAAACCAGTAGCATGCCACAGTAAACTGTAGATTCTCAAATCTGGCTGTTAACTTTTGCCCTCTGTGACTAACTAATATACCACATCCCTGTTTTTAAGGCTCGATGCCTAGGTAATTTTCCTGGATGGTGTAGCATTAGCCTATGTGACACGCCGAGTGAAGGTAAATACAACAGATGGTGCTATCCTGCAACACTGAGATGGACTTTGTGTACACTTCCTGAAATATCCTGAGCCTATTTTCTCTATATCACAACATACTGGGCAAAAAGTTATGAGGGTAATATACTCCTCTTGTTGGATTTATAACCATGGAGTCTTTTTTCTTTCAACAAATTCTCCTCTAGTAACAAGAGCACAAACAATTTAACCAAAACTTGCTGACAAGAGTGAGAAGAGTTTGGTTTTTTCTTCAATACCTTTCCCTGGACAATAATAATAATAATTGCATTTATATAGCGCATATCCATGTTCAAGAGCATGCTCTATGCGCTTTACAACTATTATTACCCCAGCAGACCCTCTGAGAACACTCAGAAACATTCTCGGCTTCCGCGGTAGCATACAATGCAAGCTGCGGATTTCACACACTCAAACACTATCAAACTGACAAGATCGTTCATTGTCTATAAAGCCGGGTACCCATTTCCACCTGAGTGAAGTGAGGAAAATTTGTGCAAAGTGCCTTTCCCAAGGACACAACGTCGGGCCCCTGACAGGATTCGAACCCACGACCTTACGGTTGCGAGTCCGAGAGCCTAACCACTAGGCCACCGACGCCACAATCATCTTCACAGTTGGCTCATCATGACATGGAGGCAAGCAGTGCAAGCGGAAATGGAAAAGGCGGGGACATCATGGAAACAGCTAGAAAAGGATGCACAGGACAGGCTTCAGAAATGTTGTTGATGGCCAATGCTCCACTGGGAGTTAAAAAGAGCAAGAGAGAGAGAGTTGGCTCATCAAGTAACAAAGTGCACAAACAATAAAACAAACACTTGCTGACACAAGTGAGAAGAGTTTGGAGTTTGTTTTTTTCTTCAGCACCTTTCCGTCGAGGATCATCTTTTCTGTTGGCTCATGGATGAAGTTGAAGGACAGAATCCACATCTCCGCCTCCACACCAGACACATGTCCACCCAGGAGCAGCTCCACCAAGACTTCCACAGAATGGGATGTCCCCAACATTGGAATGGCATCAAAGAAGAATTTCCTGAAAATGACAAATGCAAAACAAATGTGTACACAAAGTACATTTTGAGGTTGTATTTTTCAGTAGCTTTCTACCTTAACACTTTGAAACACAAATACAAAATTTTGAAGACTTTAGTTCTAGTAGAGGTTTTACAGCGCTCGCAACTGCATAAGGTCATATGAGTACCAGAAGATTAGAGGTGTTACAAGAGAGTAACAAACATAAAAAAGAAGAAGGGGAGATAAGGACGATAGATGTTTGATAGGAAAGACGAAGCAAACCACACCAGAGCACCCGCCATCCATCCACAATTTTGAAGATTGTAAAGTGGAGGGGAAGGCGGTGGGTACATTGCTTCAGGAGTCTACATTCTGCTTTATTCAGCAGTTGAGAATATCTCAAATATTATGAGCTGGACAGTAAACATAGCAAGAGCCACAAAAACAGCCCCGCCCTTCACCTGACAGGAAGACACATCAGGAGTTGTGCCTTAACTCTTTGAACCCCATCGCACGCTGGGAGCGTCCGGCGGTAATAACTTTGTTCCCCATCGGAACGTCCAGTACAAGTGACAACTGTTTCGTATTATTTAGTGCTAGTTTTTTCTTCTTTTTTTTTTTACTATTCCCGAACCAAGTTTTTTAGTAATGATTAAGACTTTGTTTCCTCTATTTAAAAGTTGGAGGCAAGCTTTTGGGGTTATAATGAGACATAGTGCACTAGGTTTAGGTGACTGTAGAAAAAAACTCAGGGAAACGGTAGAAAAAACTCAGGGCTTAAAGAGTTAAGTGCTTTTGGCGAATAAAAAAATATGTAAAAGGACAAAACATGACAGGAGAACATCCAACAGCCTGAGCTTTCTTCTAAAACATTCTGAAAAGGACACTAAGTTGCAAAGATTTTCTAAATCATTTCTCAAAGTTGAAGAAAAAAATAGCAAAATAAACGTAGCAGCAAAATAGAAGAAAAGAGTAAAAACAGCCATGACCACAAATCGTCAAATCTCTCAAGAACCAAACATTTGACCTACTTTCCTTTGTCCTTGTTATCCCCGCAAATGTTTCCGCGGTGCAGTCCCTCAGCGATGCTCATGATCTCCGCACTTTCCAGGTCACGCATCAGGTACACCTGGAGTTGTTGTAAAAGAATGATACCGTATTTCACTTCAACGATCACGCTATTCTCATAGCAAGAGCAAAGAAAAGTGTCCAAATGGCTCGGAACTCACTATTTAGCCTTCAGTCTGTTTCCCTGACACTGACAAGCCAAAAAAATCTGCACCTTTTAAAACTTTACTGAAATCAAGGCAATGTGACATTCAGAGGCTAATCTGAAATCTAAATCAGTATCATCATCATCATCATCCACTGCCAGATCAGCGACAGACATCGGCGATCATGGTTCTCCATTCATTCCTTTGCTCGGATGCTCTCAAAAAAGGTTCGTTTCCCTGATCTTTCCCTGTTACCTATTTGCTTAGGTTCCTTAAGTATGTTGTTCTGGGCCTACCCCTGCCTCGCTAGCCCTCAATTTTGCCAGTGAGAGCTAGATGTTCAAGACCCTTATGTCCATTTATGTGTCCCAAAAACTGCATTTGTCGTTTCCTGACCGTTTTTAACACTGAGCATCCCACGTGGGCTTCATCAAGCACTACCTCATTTGATTTCTTTTCCTGCCACAATACTCTTAGCAGTCTCCTAAGAAACCAAATATAAAGTTGACAATTCAGTTCAAACTGCATCAAGTAAAAAGTAATTCTTCATTTTGAGCTCTTCTAGCAAAATAATTACTCTTCAGCTTGGGAATCTCACTCACAGTTTGTCACACAGCATCTAAGTAGACACTAGATACATTCCTCGAGGAAAAAAGATACCAGTGTCAAAAACCTTTCCGCTGCACTGACAATAATTTAGGTTGCAATTTATTCTTAGCTTATCCCACAAAAGGAACACATCTGTCAATATGTACTGTAAAGTTAATTGCTATCACTATAGCCTTTGTCCATGTTACAATACCACCTGCAAGGAGGTCAATAAATCTGAGAGATTATGTGCTGACAGCTTATTTAGAAAAGAATACTTGTACTCGCTTTTTCTAAATGTATCTTAGATAAAACAACGATGAAGGACCCCCGTCTTTTTCTTTCTGGCATAACATAACAAAAAGTTACATCGGGGGGGGGGGGGGGGGGGGGAAGAGAAGCGCCCTCACCAAGTCAGTGAACAGGCCTGGGGCAGAGGATGGAATATTTTCAACAGTCAAGCGGCAAAGTGTGTTCAGTTTTTCCCTAGCTGGCCACCAGCTCTTGTCATCGCCGGCCGATTTCCTCTCATGCTCAAACAGAAGACTGGTTGTTTCTGTCACAGTATCTAGAACAAAGTAAAAGATGGGGGAGGGGGGGGGGGGGGGGGGGGGAATAGGATTACAACCCTGTCAAACTTGAAAAAAAAAACAGACTGAAAGAAAAAAAAACAATTACATTTATTCTTAGCGGTGATCTGAAAAAAAAACTGGCTAAGGAAAAAAAAATCCTGGATATTTGCGGACCTCTGGAAACAGACACAGGGTCTCAAAATTGTTGAACCATATTGTCTAACACACCTTTTCTCAAGACTACTTTTGTGTAATGTGCAAAATCCACACAATGTCAGAAATCCGGCTTTCCAGATTTATCCAGAGAATTGACACCTATGCACCATGTACTAGGGCTAATATTTGAGCTTACCTTTCATGACATTGGTTCCTGGTACAGTCTGCAAGTGCTGAAGCTCTTGGGTTGTCTTCGTTCCTGCACCTGCCTCCTTCTTGGAGAAAGGTCTGAAGGTTAGGGCTTCTGTACAGGATGAGGACAACAGGTGACCGTCAGCTGCTACAATCTGCTTACACTCATGGTTGCCTTTCAGCAACGGCAGGGACTGAATGGCCTGTGCAAAAATAACACAAATAAAAAAAATAAAACTTGTTTATGAAGAAGGAATAAAAAAAAATAAAAACAGTACAATATCTAACCTCTGCTTTCAACAATGAACAATATCCTATACAGTAATAATTAAAATGATAAAATATAGCTACAAGTGACAATGATATGGAGCACTTTTCGAAAGGTTAGCTCACATAGATATTGACACAGTGGAAAATATGCCAGTGCTTTTGTCAAGTTAATATGCAGTTGAACTAAATATTGGTTAAAGAATTTAATATAAAAGAGCACTAGATCTATATTAGCAAAAACTTATTTCTTTTCAGGAACTGAACAGAAAAATGAAATATGACTTTTTTATCAAAATGAGTTCCTGCATACAATTTAGATGACAGAATATCAGACAAAATATCATTAGTAGTAGGCCTACTGTCATACAAATGAATGTGAACAAAATAGAAACCCTTCAAAAAGAGTGAAATAAACTTTGTACTGAACACCTGATAAGAATCAATCCCAAACCAACACTTACATTAGGCAACTTGAAGGGAGTTGACTGCATGAAGGTCTCATAGGACTGTCGATCTGAGCATCCAAGAAGATCTTTAACTTTGGTGAATTTTCGTGACTTCAATCCTTTGTCATCAACAGTATACTGCGTTCTGCAGGTGCCGGTGACATCAGTCTATTGTCCAAGAAACAGGAGCAGAAGCAAAATTACATTTTGTTCATAACTATTGATACATACTGAAAGCATAAGGAAAAGAAATGACAGTTTAGCATTCTTAACCAAAACATATAGGATGATAGAAGCCACTCGTAATTGTAAGAGATTGTACATATTTTTTCAAATACAGTAAGTTCAACCAAAATAATTTTTCACCTCATCAAGACAAAAAGGAGCCAGTCTGAACAAGATATCAAGTCATAAATTACCAGCTTCAGGGCTTGATGTCAATGTTCAATACATGGATTGGTAGTGTACATTATCATATATATATAAGTATATTTGTCACCTCCAGTTAACCAAATTCAAACCAAAAACTGACAAATGTGCACAGTGCACATTGGAGAACCGTGAATGATTCCTGCACAGTATAGGGGCGGTTTTTCTTCACAGACACATTCCATTCAGAATCAGTACATGAAATCATAAAAGAAACACGCTTGACGGCTTTAAAGAGCAACTGTTTTAGAACTGAGTACAAACCTCTTGCAAACTCTCATCCCTCTCATGTTGGTTCATGCTGTTTTGGAAGGCAGACAAAATTCCGCGCTTAAAGTTGAGAGATTTGACTGTGTCGTCAGGTGAGGGGCACAGATCCTCAATTTTTCCATCTTGGAAAGAGAACCTAAGGTCACTACCCTCCAACACAGATTTGTAGTCCCAGTCATCCAGTTCTTTCAGCTGAGTGCTGTCTGGTTCTGAAGTCTTGAAGACAACATTTGACAGCTGGGGAAAAGAACAAGAACATATAGTTGTATTTGCATATGTTTACTTGTCACCCTTCAGAAAAGAACAATCAACTGCTACAAGCTACTTCAGGTTTCTATTCTAAAAAACAGCCCTGATCCACTGAATGAAGGTGATTTTGATTCTTTCAATTCAAGCTCAAGGAATTTAGGAATATTGTCTCCCTACATAGAAGGCAGAAGAAAAAGAAAATGAACTGACAATACTGACATCATGGTAAAAATATATCATTCAACTGAAAAAAAATTATTTTTTAAAAATAGATTTTTATTGCCCCACATTTCATCAAAATGTAAATATGTTGGACTTTGTGGATGCATCCTATCAGTCTCTCTCAAAAGCGTGCTCTTATTATTTTTCCTTTTTGTACCTGAGACCATTAACAATTCGTCTCCAAAGACTTCTTTCTCCAGTAGTTCTCAAGTTTTACCCAATTTCTTGGCATCTACCTCCACCTTTCTCCACCATGTCAATCATGACCTTTCTCTGTTTCTCTGACCAAGAGGACTCCATATTTCAGCCTCATCACCATTATCATCACGACCAATTTTCTCCTTAATCAGACTCCAATTCACTGCCATCTTTAGTGTCATTTCCTTTTTCATCTCTAATTTACCCTCTCAACAATCTACCAATCAAATTTCGTTTTTCCATAGAGAGGTAAAAGAGCACAAAAGTTCTTTAGGCTCAGTGGGCCAATGCTCTTAAAAGTTAACCAGCTCTCTGCTCTTTGGTTGGTGAGCTTACTTTTACTTTTAATTCTATGGACTTCCAGACTTTTACTGAATCATTGAAGCTGCTTTCAGGATCTGGATCATCGCTTTGACAGCCTCATCGGTACCTTCATGCTTTACGACATACTCCAGTTTGGGGAGGTTTTTCAGATAACTATAACATAACATCTTTTACAAAAAGGGAACTCAAAGCCATGAAACTTCCTGATTTAAGTTCTGCTATTACAGAAGTTTACAATTTTAAGTCAAAAGAGATATTCTTTATTTCATTTTAGCTGAAAAAGGACAAATTACATTTGCACTGAAGGAAAGTTTTGAAATGCAAATTAATGGACAAAACAAACACATGCAGCCATCTCCGGTCTAATTTGCTTACTTTAAAACAAAAATATCTAAGAGCAACTTTAACCATACTGATCATACTATTAGAATTTACATCAAAGAATGCCTTGATATTTATTCATTATGTCACGATAAAGTGATCCTTCTTTACATCACGGTCAAAGATTCTTTTTTCATTCCCGCATTAAATTAAATAAGCGCAGCTCATAAATGCTGTTAACAAAGCAATTTTTATCTTTCCTTCTGTTCTCTTGATGTCTCACACACGATGAGTCATGATTCATATCGAAACTGAATAATGCTTATCTCGACAGTATTCAAGTATTGTTATCATTATCCAACTAATGATGACTCACATTTGACGAACCCATGAACAAAATATAGAAAAATCGAAAACATTATTCAAATCTACATGACATGCACAAAAGATTTTTTGAAACTATGGATAACCTTATTATTATTTTATCAATAAAATGAAATCTAAAACTAGGAGGAAACTAGGAGGATAAACTCGTCCGAAAGTCAACACAACACAGGTAACTTCATTGATGACACTTTGAATGTATAGATCTAGTCAAATAAAAGACTGACTGACATTTTCAATACATTTTTATTGCCGTCCACTCAGCTGAGTAGTGATAGAAAGAGAGCATGTCACTTCTTGTCTTAAAAAATCCTATCAGCAGAATTTTATTTCAACAAGCCTCACGCCCACCACTGCTGTGAAAGAGAGACACCTGAACCTAGATAAAGCACACAGAACAAAAAGAGGTTGGATCACTCCACTGCTCCTTCATCTGATAACCTGTGTACTATGTCAATAAAACTTGTCAGCAATAAAATATTATTATTACAGTAGGCCTTCCTTTTGGAAGCAACACGACATAGAAAGAACAATTAATTTTCAATAGACTTATTTAATATTTTTGAAAATTTCAAGCTCATCACCTATTTTTTGTTGTTGTTGTTTTCAAATCCCTTTAGCTGTGAGCATTTCGCTCTACGCAGCCATCACCTATTTAAAATTACATGATAAAAGACCTTCATTGGTACTCACTTTCCCAATAAAACTGCAAAATTCCACAAAACTTAATGACAATGAAGGAGCAGTATATTACAATTGTCACTGTGCTGGAATGGAAGTACATGTAGGCCTACAATTAAGTTTCAAAAGCATAGATACAAACACAAACTCCCAACTTTCCACTCCAGCTGTGAACATGTAGAAAATAGATAAGAAGAGATAACTATGTGAGTTTCAGACCATATGAGGATGAGAAAGAAAGACAAGTCAAAAGATGACCATTTTTTATTCACTCTCCACGACCTGCTGATAAAATCATAAGGCAGGGAAGTTATAAATTAATCTAACGGGATGTTTCAAGTGCTTATTGTGAAATATATCCATTATTATACACCATACACATTGCTAGTTACCATTCTGAAGATGGAAAAGATAGATCAAATGTTTCAGTCTGAACAAGGCTTGAGATATTGAAAGTGAAACACTGTAAGATAGATAACCTCCGCATTGCTGTTCAGAGTAGGGTTATCTCTTTTAAGTATGACTTTCAGTATTAAATACTGATAAGATTCTTCATTCTCAGTTAGACAGAGATATATAAGCCAGGCCCCAGGTATATGTCTGAATCAATGTACAGATAGATAGATATAACTTACATAATCTGTCTCTAAATATGCAATAGGTCATGAGAGACAGATTTCATTTCAATTTAACTGTTTGGCCTTTTTTTTTCAAGCAAACATTTTTTTCATTTGAACAGTTAAAAAAGGTGAAGCCTTACCAATATTTACGTTACATCCTTGATAAGGTTAGGCTACTGGACCTGTAATTGTGAGATTGCATGTTCGGGGGTTCAAGCCTCAGCTCAGTCAGACGTTGTGTCCTTGGGAAAGGGCACTTTACACGAATTTCCCATTGGGCTCGGTGTTTTCGGAGAGATTGACGTTAAACTCGGAGCACCCGCCTTTTAAATAACCTAATAGTGTTGAAAGGGGCGTTAAACCTATACTATTTCATTTCATTTATCATATTATTACACCCTCATCTATCATTCAAAGTATACCCTCAGCTCTTTTAGTAAGCCTGCTCTTAATCAGAAGCCAGAGGAGACAATGATTACTTATGGTTCCTTTTGCGCTTTGAAAACTGTAATTTCATGCCCCTTCAAGAACACCATAACAATTCAAGAGCATGATTAAGTAAAGTAAAGATACTGAACGCTGTTAGATGAAACAATAATCACTAAAACATAGCTCTTCTTAAAATAACAATCAACACTGTATAACTGAGTAGGTGTTACCTCCTAGCTAGTACGACATGCATTACTACTGTACATTTAAAACCGTAAGGTCATGGTTTCGAATCCCGTCAAGGGCCCGACGTTGTGTCCTTGGGTAGGGCACTTTGCACAAATTTTCCTCACTTCACCCAGGTGGAGATGGGTACCTGGCTATAGACAGTGAACGATCTTGTCAGTTTGATAGTGTTTGAGCGTGTGAAATCCGCACTGTATGCTTCTGTGGAAGCCGAGAATGTTTCTGAGTGTTCTCAGAGGGTCTGCTGGGTAATAATAGTTGCAAAGCGCAAGAGCATGCTCTTGAGCATGGAAATGCGCTATATAAATGCGATTATTATTATTATTATTATTATTATTTTTAAAAGGGAGATTTTCTCACCGTCAGTGCAAGCTCGCATTTAGACAAAACATGGATGCTGGCAGTAGCTGCCACCTCAATGCGAGCAGCTCCTTCTCCAGATCCGGTCAGACTCGTCTCTGAGGTCACATCATACTTGTATTGATAGGTCTTTCCGATGTCATACTGGAACTTGCTGGTGCCTGTGCGGGAGTTAACATGAGAATAATTCAAATTATTAGTTTCATTATATTGCTTTTAGTTTAGTTTCGTTTTAGTAAAAGATTCACGGTACTTGCAACACAAGAATGTCATATTATGCTGAAAATAAGAGGCGCTACAAACAAGAGAGTAACAAACAAAAAAAGGAGAAATCAGGACATTAGATGTTTGATAGGAAAAGAGCAGCAAACCACACCAGAGTACCCGCGAACCACCAGCTTTCATTTGTAATTTAAAACAGAATTACAGACAGCACTGTATACAACAATTACAAAAGTAAGCCAATCAACAGGGTTTACAAATAGATTCTACCATTATAAAAACAAAGTAAGCCCTAATTAATGAAACAGCAATTAAGTTTATCAAATAAAATTTTATTTGAAAAGATGTCTGACACACACATGCAATAGGGAAAACAACCTTGAGGCTTTAGACTTTAAGCTTTAGGCTGAGACATGGGCCTAATCATAATATGATAATAATACAGATCTAGATCTAGATCTAGATTAGATCAAGATATCTAGGTCTAGACTCTAGATTCTGCATAACATCTTATTTTGAGTAGAATTTCTGAATAGCCTAATCCTAATTTTCACAGAGCAGTCTGTGTTCTCATAGAAACGCAACACCTTTGCTCAACACTTGCCCTCTCAAGCTTTCCACTACTTAAAGACGAGAGGAATGAGCAGTAGATATCGCTACAGGCTGCAATCAAAGCTTTGTAATTTGTAGAAAATATATAATAGATTTTGTAAGTCCTGGTCCCTGACAAAAAGCCAACAAAACGATTCAAAACTCAAAACGCCCCGCCCCCGCCCCCTGGGCCGCGGGCCGCGAGACGGAAGAAGAAAAGTAAGAAAAGGTTGCCAGTGGTGTGTCATTTTGTCCTTTAGATCTAGGCATATACTCCTACGTTTTTATAGGTAGCCTTGACTACGTTTACATTATGAGGAGTGGGGGGGTACTTTTTTAGAAGACTGTAGACCTACATGTATTTCAAAGTTTATAGTTTATAGCATCTGAAGATCTGAACAGAATCGGTACCGACAAAAGACGACAAATTACTGGCTTTCCAATGAACAAGATTTAGTTTCACTTTCATTTTTTTTGGTTTCACAAAGATTGCCTCTTAAGCCTGCTACAGTCTTTCGCTGGGGTAATTTAAAAGAAAAATGGGGGCGGGAAGAAGGCGGAGAGTTGGAGAGTAAATGGAGAGTGCTTTCTCTCTCTCTCTCTCTCTCTCTCTCTCTCTCTCTCTCTCTCTCTCTCTCTTTATATTATATATCTGACAACGTTGGTTGACCCTTCAGAAGCAAAGAGTAGACTATAGTGTTACAAGTAGATATCTTTCTATCCAGCCTGCTGACGCCTAGGCATTCCATCGTCTTCTTCTCTTCTTTTTTTTAAAAATCAGTTTGGTACCACAACTAATATACATAAAAGCCTATATTTTATTTTTATATTGTAATTTGCAACCGTGGTATTTCTCGAGGGGCAGTCCTATGATCTCTTTCATGGGATGATAAAAAGAATGTAAACCACGTCATCTGATAATACCAAGCATGCTGCTTTACTAGTTACTAGCTTAATTTTATCAAAACTCGATTATTGTAACTCCTTGTTATCAGGAATATCACTGGAGAAAGTTATATTAAAATTTATCAAATCTGTTAAGACTACTTTCCAACTCGCAGTTTAAGCTCATCAGCTGACAAAAAGAAATTTATTTTACCATCTATCAAACTTAAAACAATGGGTGAAAGGGCATTTGAATACCAAGGCCCCAAGATCTGGAATGCTTTTACCAAGTACTTTAAGAGATATTAAATCTTTTGATTCATTCAAATGTCAGCTGAAGTCGTTTCTGTTTTTAAATTAATAATTAATAAGATGAATATCTGAAGTGATTTTCTTTAAATCAGAACATATCGTTTTATATTACTGGTGTACATTGTACTGTATTGTAAAGCGCTCAGAGCCTGTGTACTTTCATCGGGGCTGTGCGCTTTTAAAATATAAATGTCTTTATTGTTATTATACTCGAGATTACCTCGTTGAACGGTTCTAAGTCTCTCTTTTGCCCGAAAAATGTTCATTTGTGAAATAAACTACCAATAAATGCACTTATTTTTAAAATGGGGATGTATTATGCGTTACTCTATGCCGAGTAAGAAAGAAAAGAAGACAGTTCATTAAAAATGTGCCTTGTTATGTAACCTTCATCTTCAACTACAGAAAATCCTGTGGACATTTCTTCTGTCTACGAATTTTGACATTATGAAAATCAAAGCTAGAACGATGATTCCTAGAAATGAAAAGCTGTACTTCCTGTGGGACGATGGGACGACAGAAACGTTTCCTTGATCCTTTTACCCCCC